CGATTGAAAAGTTCAACGCTTCGACGAATTTAAATCATTGATAAGGTAGACTGGGTCCATAGGCAAATGATTTTCTATTGTACCGTAAAGTCTAAGACTCGTTTAAGTTTTTTATATTGAATTATTTTTGTTTCTCGTCAACGTGATTAATAAATAAATGATTGGAAAATTCAAGAATGCATTTTTTTTTATAGAACTGGGGCAGGAGGCTCATCTGATGTTAAGTCATACCTGTCACGTCCAACTCGTTACAACTCAGTGCAAGATTCAATCAGAGGCAAAAAAAAAAAAATCTGTTATTTTTACCTTTGTAGTTAAAGCCGGCCAAGACTTTAAGAATTTTGAGGATGCTTTTTTGCTGAAGGACTCACTGTTAAAAATGCAATCAATGGTAATTTGCTTGTTCTTGAGACCAAAATTCCAGAGTTCTGCGTTACAAAAATTTCGTTAAACTTAAACGCTCATTTATTATGTGGAACGATGTTCATAATTCTGCAATTTGACAAGTAATAAAATAAAATATAAAAAAAATTCCTGTACACTTATTTTGTTACCTTTTTTAGTATTAGTATTACAAGTTGAATTTTAACAATTTTTGCGGGGGGGGGGGGGGGGGGGGAGGGGGGGGGGGGGGGGGCCGCCCAGGGCCCCCCCTTGGGGGGGGGGGGGGGAGAAAGGGGGGAATAAAAATTTAAGTTTGAGGGGGGATGACAATGGGAGGCGAAATATATAAAATAAAACTTGAATATTTTAATATACATAAGTGGGTATAAAACTAAAGAGTATCTACGTTGTAAATGTTGGATGTTGGGAATTAGCAATTAATTAAATAAAAAGAATATGTATTGTTTTAGTGAAAAGTTGAGTCTTACTTAATCAATTTTAATAAGACATAATTTTATCTTGTTTGAAATTCAATAACCAAAAATAAAATGACTGCTGGCTTAATCTGTTCAAATAAACCTTTTTGAAATAAATTTATCGTTCGTACGTACATTATCATAGACATAATATAAAGATATTAAAGGGTATAATGGGGTTGTTTTTATTCCCCCCAGGTAACATCAATTAGGAGCAGATGGCTATAGGTGTGAGGCTAATCTACACAACTTATATGGAAACCACGTTGGGGACAACCTCGATTTTATTTCTCTAGAATAGACAATTTTATACTTGTGGGACAAATTTGAAATTGGAATCTTAAATTATGTCCTATTATACTCATTATTTATTTAGGAATATACATTTTTATTTAAAAATAAACTGAACAAATATGATCTGTTTTTATAGAACAAATGGACAGGAGGCTCATCCTGATGTTAAGTGATTCATAATCACTCTGCCAGCTCGCCAGTGTGATGCCGACTCATAACTGGCATTTATATTATGCACATTATAAATAAAATATCAAATAAATCCTTGTTCTGGAATGTTCTGTCAGTCTTAATCGCTAAACCTATATACATATTATTTTTCTAAATGATAAGATATATTTTATTATTTTAATGCTTATGTATACGAATAAGAAATATGAGTTATAAGTTAACAAAATAAAATTAAACATAACTTTTAACCTAACAAGTGCATAAGAAAACGACTATGGCCCAAAATTAATAATGTATCCTCAATCTAAGATTATAACCAACCCAAATCATACGAATTTCACCGATAGCAATCCGAGATTGATTTGTCCAATCGAAGCAACTGTCAAAATGGACAGATAGGTTATTGGCATGTGTAAACATTCATTTTCATACAGAGGGCAATCTTCAATTTTTTATCCGTCCCTGAACGATTGGTTAAATAATTAGATTGGCATCGCAGTCCATGGATTGAATTGTCGATCTATAACAGCTAAAATTGGATTGAGATAGGTTATTGAGGCGTATATCTTATCGATATAACTTTCGTGATTGTTATAAATTATTTATCCATGGTTCTTTATTTTTGTCTTATTTGACCATCTGTCCAGTTACACTATATAGAGTAGTTAAATATTTAAAAAAAAATGTTAATAATTAACTCACCTATATCCGGAATTTCCGCAACAAAATCCCTTCACGTAAATCTATATCTAAAAGTCACAGGTTCGGGGCGACTTATTAAAACGGTCGCTTTAAAATATGTCACGCTAGGGCGCCTCTAGGGCATAAATAATGCCTGCTGCCGCTGGGGTACTCCGCTATCTGCTATTATGTAGGAAATAATAGAGTGGAACAGCCCTAATTTTTAATCTATATGTAAAAACTAGCCGACCCGGCAAACGTTCTTTTGCCATGTGTATTATTTCTAGAAAAATAATTTTAGTTCAATATAAATAACTTTATACTATAATAAAAATGGGGTTGATCGTAGAGGGGTGAAAATTAGGGGTTATATGTATTTTTGTACCATAAAAAAATAAAACCAAAAAAAAAATGTCTAATAAATAAAAAAAATAACTTAGGGGTTTGAAAGATAGATAGTAGCCGATTCTTAGACTTACTGAATATGCATTAAAAAATTGATAAGAATTGGTCGAGCCGTTTCGGAGGAGTAAGGTAACGAACATTTGTATCACGAGAAATTAATATATTAGATAAATAATATAAGGATTTATACATCAAAACGTTGCTCAGAAATCTGACAATCTATTAGTGAAATACAAATTTTGCAGCCCATTGCCAAACTAAATCTTACAGTATGGGAACGAACATTGTGACACGAGAATTTTATATATTAGATGAATTGCTGTTCGTTAGTTCGTCTCGTTAAACTCGAGAACGGCTGGACCGATTTGGTTAATTTTGGTCTTTATAAACTTTATTATAAAATAAAGTCTCCTTGCCACACACTACTTTACTTTTCTGTCGCCCTTCATCACAGCGTGACCACAATTTGACAAAAAGAAACCAAAGAGTGAGAGAAATTGTAAACTAATATATTGTTAGGATAAATGTGGTGCTGCTGACTAAATAATATAAAAATGTATGACTTAGTATAATCCTGCAGGTCCATAATAACATCGCCGAGTGACCCAAGTAGGATGACCGTTCACACCGCATTAGAATTTACAACTTGCCCCGTGATATACCTAATTCAATTTGACGCCCAAATTATGGCGATCGACGCTTCGGACCAGCAGCGTTGTAATATTAATCCATCCTTCTTGGAATATATTTTTACTTCGCGCTAGAGTGTTCTGGAATGTCTTGCTAAAGTTTCTAAATTAAGACGAAGAGAATAGAAACAAGTTTTACCATTGGACGTCGAGGCCGAATACGAAATTCCACCATATATCTTGGACGTTCGACACTGTCCGTCGTTCTGTAACTCACTTTTCGAACTCACCACGGTTTTCGCATCGGCGGTCGCTCTCAAATCAGTCGTGGAAGCAGTGATTTTATGAGTAGGCATCTTTTGGTCTAATAATCAATAAACTACAAGCTCACCACCTTTTCAGAATACCAAATCATAAAATGACTGCTTCACGACTGATTTGAGAGCGACCGTCGATGCCAAATCCGCTGTGTGAGTTCGAAAAGTGAGTTACAGAATCGCAGGGCTGAGCGTTTTTTAACGCAGTTTTTGCCGCACTATGTGGAACCACTGAAGTATTTCCGAACCAATTCGACTTAGGGTCTTTCAAGATAAGAGCGTACCAATTCTTAAAAGGCTGACAACGCACTCGTGAGACCTCTGGCATTGAGTGTCCATGGGCGGTATCACTTAATATCAGGTGAGACTCCTGTCAGTTTGCCCCCTGTTCCCCCCGAATTTTGAGAGAACTACATCGAAATTTCATACAAAATATTAATCTATGCAAAGCGTATTAAATAACTACGCAAATGGTCTAAATGAGAACGCTTAACGAATGCTTTGTCACAAACATATGGGTATTTTATTTAAAAAATGGGTCAAAAATCATCTTCGTTATGGAATTGTCATAATGAAATGCGAGTATGGACACAATCGTCTCTCTTTATTATTTTTAATGAGCGCATTTCGAGAACAATAAGTCCATTTACCTCTTAATGTGCTTGGCAACATTTCATATGGAGACGCGAAAATTGTTAATTTTTATTAAGCCATTATTGAAATATGTTAACGTGAAATACGAATATATTGCGTTAAAAATAGCTTTTAAATATTTCATTAATTTATTGTGAAGTCCAGAGCTCCTGTATTCACTAATCATTTCTATAAATAAATGTAGATGACATTACCAACAACAAGACAATATTGTTTAATTCTATAAAGCATAAAAGAGGCTTTATTATCTGTCACATTTTATAATGGACTAGCGGACCCGACAGATGTTGTCTGGCATGATATTTCAGCGATTAGGATATTAAACAAACTATGAAAGTACCAAAGCAGCGCCATCTGCCGGGCTGATTTGTGAATCTAAACTCGCCACCCAAACGCAAACAAAAAAATTTAATCAAATCAGTCCAGCTGCCTAAGAGGAGTTCAGTGACATACACACGTACAGTAGAATTATATATATAAATAGATGTATTGAAAACCATACTATGCTGAAAAAAAGTCACTTCCCTGAACACGATCTCTTGCTAATTGAAGGCCGTAGATTAAGTTTTTGCCTCCCAGCATAATAATTACTTTGAGTGGCTTAGCTCAACTTGCCGAGCTGGCTTTATGGGTCGTTAAAATTCTATAGAGATCTTGTTTTAGTTTCACAATTATTTGAAAAGTTACATGTATTTTTACAAGTATTAGGGAGAAGCTTCAAAAGAACTCAGTGATGTGACATTACAAAGTAAACTTTACAGATAAAAAACGCATTTAGTTTTGACTAATTGACTTTATTTTTTTTAATTTCTAAAATAAACAACAACCTAAATCAACTTATTAAACTTAAATAAAATTGCACCTAAGTTATTCTGCATATCTTAGTAAGTCATTAATTAATAATATGTAGGTAATTAAAACTTAGGAGTAGGAAACCCTGTCCAGAATACATAATAGTAAGACGGATATAAAATGGCTCGGAGTCTCTTTTATTTGAACTTCTTTTGGCCTTTCTTGCCTTTTTTAACTACCGCCGTCGGTGCTTGCTCTGGCGGTGCTTGCTCTGGCGGTGGCGTAGGAGGAAGTTTCTTGTCTGGCCATAGTCTCCTTATCATTTCTATGATACCTAAAAATATATAAATTTCAAATAATATAAAATAAAAATGTCACACATTTTTTGTCTTTGACGTTGATTTGTCAGTTGTCAAATGTCAATTGGGAGTTGGGCGGGAGAAAATAAAATTAAAATTGTGGATTGCGTTGGTTTTTCAAATAATAATTGAGAGTGGCTTTTGAACATTAGCGTTTTGTTAATATTACTTTTATTCCACTAAATTATGGATTATACTAGATAGCGAAGAAAACGTAAAATGTTCCGGAAGGCTTCAGATAAATATTGGCGGGAATGAGCGTCCATCGATTTACCGTTGTTTAAACCATCTCTCTCTCCCTTTTATAATTAATGAAGTAATGGAGACTAGAATTAAGAATGGTTATGTATCAAATATCGCTGTATTGGAAAGGTGACTCTCAATGGACTCTTGGAGTTTTGTTTGCCATGTGTATAAAAATTATTAGTTTATCATACATAATAGGAAATGGGTATGCAGACAATTATAAAATAAAAGTAAATCCAATTACACCAAAACACGTATACGTATATAATTTCTATAAAGAATATAACTGGTTTGTGAGGGAAATAATGACAATGACATTTCAAATCGCACCATAGACATTTGTGTGGACATAGACAAAAATTAAATGTTAAGGGGTTTCAAGTCCGTAAAAATCGGTGTTTATAGGAGTTGAAAATACCAGTTTTAATGAAATCGTATATCACACGTAAACTGCAAATTAAAAAAGCGGTGCCAAAATCATAATAAAAAAATTCACATGCCACGTTATTATTCATGAAAATGAATATGCGATAAAGTGGAAATTGTTAAAATAATGACCCCACGTAGTCCGGTCCGCCATTTTTATTGCCCTAAATTGTTTTAAATTTTTTCCTTATGAATTATCTCAATTTCTCTTCAAATACAATTTAATGAGTGAAATGATTGTTCAAATTAGATAACAAATTCATTTCCGTAATGTTTTGTTTTCAAAATTAATGAGGAAAACATTGTTTTCGACTTAACATAAGTGAGGTATATTTAAGCCTATTTGTATCTGAGAGTTATTTAAAAAAATATAATAAATTATATTTATAAGAAATATATTTAAAAAAAATACTTATAAATATATTATGTTGTATACGACGCGACGTTTGAAATAGATAAACTTTAGCCGACCTAAAGAGACTGATTAACCTGAAGGCCACAGAGACAATTTTTTTAAAGACAGCTTGGTCTGTTCTGGCGAGTTTAGCTCATGCATATGCTTTTTTCCACGACTAGCGCAAGGGCGCAATCTCCTGTGAGACTCGGACCTCTTGGGCCGTAGCGGGGTGGTGGTAACAGAGTTTGTAGATTATGGGTGTCGCTACAGACTTATAATAATAATTTATTTGCAAGAATATGGTACAAAAATGTAATGTACAATCTAAAGTTCGTATATTATAGAATTATACTATATGTATGTATTATAGAAGTTACAGTATAATAATAAATATCATTGTAGTCAATTCTTATATTATTTTATCACTAAATCATCACGTTATTAAAATATATTATTTCATTTTCAAATTAATATTAATTATAATATTTGCGTAAAAATAATCATTAATAAAATAATACATATTTTCTTAAAGTAGATTTTTAAAAACTCAAGTAGGAAGCTCTTTGAATGTTTTTGGTAAATTATTAAGATATATATCTATAGTCTATATTATAGTACAGTATATTAATTGCTGTAAAATACTTACCTCCGTCATCCTGAAAAATCCTAAATACGAGATTTTTACTGACCGTCGAGTTTAACAGTCTTCGTTCCCTTATCTATGACTGGTCCGGGAAATGTTTCCGTGAGCTGGTTGACGAGGTCTTCGTCGACAGGAGTCCCAGCGAGCTTTAGGTCTCGAAGGATATCACGCGGTTGTACTATATCAACTGATTTTCGGAGTTGTAAGAAGTACAGCCTATAAACACAGTCTTGGCACCATTATTATGATCTGGACCGGCCGAAGAACCGCTAGCAACGAGAACAATATCAGAGTATTAAGTGACGGGACATTTGCCAAGGAGATGGACTGATCAAGTCAAAGATTCGTAGTCCTCAAACTAATACACTGATATAAAAGAGATGCTCAGTATCAAAGTTGATGGAGATCACGATACATTACAACGAGTTACCGACACAGAGAAAACTAACGGGTAATGGCGCAATACACAAGACGCTGTGGTGGAGAATTTTCTACTTTCGGAGGGCAAGATTTTTTTTATAAAGTAAAATATGCTTTTTTATATATTACAAGCGTAATTCAGTATTATTGTTCACTTCAGGAGTCCTTCCATTTTATATTTTTTCGATTTGATTATACATTTTCAAAAATGAAGACGTACTTGTAAAATTAGTCCGCGTCGCCTATCAAAGCCTCATTCCGTGTGTGATGAATGGCGTATTTAAATAATCATTAAAAAACTGATTTCTGAACGATACCAGCCTTGCGATTCTGTAACTCACTAAGTCGTAAAGCAGTCATTTTACGATTTGGCATTCTCATAAACAATAAACTACAAGCTCCCTCCTTATTAGAATGCCAAATCATAAAATGACTGCTTCACGACTTATTTGAGTGCGACCGCCGCTGTGAAAACCGCTGTATGAGTTCGAAAAGTGAGTGACCGAATCGCTAGGCAGTACGGTCTTATAGATAAAAGCGTACCAATTCTTAAAAATCTGTGGGTGTCCATGGGTTTATTATTTAGTATCGGGTGAGCCACAGGCCCATTGCCCCCTGTTATAGAACTGGCGGACTGTTTTATATAGATAAAAAAAATGGTGCGTGTACTTATGTACGCGCGTAAGTTATACTTCTTTGGCTTTCTTTAGTTTTTTAAAATATTAAATAATTAAAAAGAAGACAATTTATTTACTGTCATAGAAATTTCACTTGACCGAATTTAAATGCGTTGCCGCACAATTGTTTTTAATTAAGAAATATTAGAGATCACAAAAAGTATGGCTACGCTTTAATTATTTATAATAAAATCATCAGTATTTTGCCTGTGTGATTTGGACGCATCAAGCAAGATTGCCGATTGTCCTCTGTTGTATAAAAAAATACAACGTTACTAGCGAGACGGTATTTCAGTTCAGCGAAAACCACTTCATCTGCCCGGAATTTAAGTGTTAACAAAGTATGACTAAGCACTCTTTAAACGAGACTTAGCCAGTGTACCCAAGTATAGAAAATTATATGCGTACGTCTCTATTCTGAACTTCACCTAAGTAAACTAGACGGAAGTAACATATTGTCTTGTTAAACGAAAAGGATTATTTTTGAGCGAATATCTGAAATTAATCGTATTTTGGATAAATTTAAAGGCATCAATCAATTAGGTTTTACTAAGTCCAACCACAACGTAATAAATATAAAGATTGTAGTACTTAAAAGATTCTAAATCAGAATATAACTCAGTGAAGTGTGGAAACATTTTTTTGCAATTAAATATATGGCAGTATAATGACATAAATTTCGGTCTTACGCGATATCCAGCTTAGTTTTCTTCCCCTTTTGTGTGAGATAGTCCATTCTTTTCATTATAAGGGGTCGTATATCTGGTAATGAAAGCGTGTAATTGTGTAGCACTTCGCCGTGTGAAACTTTTGTATTTTTCCTATAAGGTAGTTGTAATATTTCTTCTTTTTCCTGTAATAATTTAATTTTGGTACATCGTGAGGAACTGCCATTTAGAGCAGAACATTTACATGTATAGCTAGTGGGCCATTTGTTAACCTGTGAACTCAAATTAAGTCACTCCTTTTAATCCGATTTTCATGCCTTTTTTGTGGCGCCGTTCATTAGATACATATATAGTTTTTTAACTAATAGACGAAATATTTGTGTTTTTGTCTATTTATAAAAACTACTCTACCGTATTCAAAAATTCTTTCACAATAAGAATGCTATAGTATCCTTGAGTAATATAGAATTTACTTCCAGAATATTAAAAAAACGTAAAGCCTACGAAGGGACAGGCCCCTAGTAATTAATCTAGTAATGGAAATAATAAAGGAGATGGAACTCTGAGAATCAACAAAATTATAGCTTTTAACGGAAAAAGGAGATAAATTTCTATTTGGTTATTTTTGGTTGTCAGGTCCAAAAATCAACGATCAACCTTTCAAACCAATCACGAGAATGTAAGTGCGTGCTCCTATTTCACCATGCCTCCTGCTTATAGAGGATAAATCTTGGTTTTTAATTTATTTTATTATTATTTACACTTAAGATGTCATGTGGAACATGGTGTAATAGTTGCAGCTCCTTACAAACGTTGTGTAAAACAAAAAACTTTGCGATTAAAAAGATTAGATTAGATCTTCCGTTCTACGTCCTTGATTTGAGAACTGGCAGTAAATGTAAAACTAGAAGCATTTAATGTATGTTTCTTTTTTGAATTAATGATTTTTGACTTTGACTTTGATTACAATGATAAACCTAAATTAACTTGCCTTGATAACCATTCAGAAGAACAAGGATCATTATTTTGCACCAACTTCCAAAAATACCCTAATTTTCATGTAACTAATTAACATTATAATTAGTAAAACAGTTCGATCAATAAAAGGATATTGTTGTTTAAAAGGTCGGGAACGCAGTTGCGAGCCATCTGGCAATGTGAGTTTCCATGGGCCCTGCGTCTTTATATAAACAAAATAAAACTTAATCCATTTTGAAGTTGAAAAGAATTTTTTCTAATACATAGGTAAGTTACGCCATTCTTAAGAATGAATAATTAGTACTACGATAAATGAAATTTCGTTTAAGTAACCTGAACAAAATTCAAATCCACGATAATATTTTGCATATGCAAATTAAGTAATTTTACAGTTGGCTTTCTCAAGGTGTTTAGAATCTTCAACGCATCACTGGGACTGAGTGGGTTGCACGATAGATCAAGTGTTTGAAGACGCCTCGCCTTTAATAGTGAAGTTGATATAACCTTTGCAGCTGTGTTTGATAAGCTGAAATTAAATTTATAGTGCATTGTGACTAGTTTGAATAATTGTTAAATATAATGATATTACCGACGCCAGAAATGTGTTAAATAAAAATATAGCTAGGTACCTTAATGACATTTTGAAATTGTTAGACTTTTAAATGAATATATTTCATAACAAAAATAGCCTATTAGGTTAGGCTTCAAGCAAGTAGGTGATCAGCCTTCTGTGCCTGATACACACGTTTTGGGTGTAAAGAATACTGGTTTTCTCACTTCACTCACCGTACGAGCGAATGTCCATTTGTGCCAGGTACCAATTTGATTGATTTGATTTGATGATGGCGACCTTGATGTAATCTAATATTATATATAAAATTCTCGTGTCACAATATTCGTTCCCATACTCCTCCGAAACGGCTCGACCGATTCTTATGAATTTTTTTATGAATATTCAGTAAGTCTGAGAATCGGACATCTATTTTTCATCCCCTTAAATGTTAAGTGTGGTCCACCCCTAAATTTTTATTTTTTAGACAACATTTTTTTGTTTTTATTTTTTCATGCATACAAAAATATATACAACCCTTACTCAAACTCAAACTCAAACTCAAAATATCTTTATTCAAGTAGGTAACCAAGTACACTTTTGAATCGTCAAGTTAAATTAATCGTAAATTTACATTTACTACCAGTTCGCAAGTCAAGGGCGTAGAGCGGGTAAGAAGAACTGGCAAGAAACTTTCCGCCACTCTTTTTAATCGCCAAGTCATACAAATTGTTTGAACTGGAGCAATTCAATCCCAAGGATTAGGATATTTAGTAGTCCTCAAATTTATAAAAAGCTTTGTTGATTAATTTTCGTTTAACGAGGGCTTTGAATTTATTTAGTGATAATTCTCTAATTTCGCTTGGGAGCTTGTTGTAAAAACGAATACAATTTCCATATAAGGGGGTGGTTTATCTTTTGGAGCCTGGTTGGTCGTACACTCAAATTAGTTCTATTTCGGTATTATACTGGTGAAAGTCACCATTTGTTTTAAAATCGTTTATATTTTTTTGGGACATACAACAAGGCTTCAAGAATATATTGACCAGATAGTGTCATAATATTTAATTCCTTAAACTTATTCCGTACCGACTCCCTCGGAGAAACACAACAAATACCCCGAACAGCCCGCTTCTGCAGCACAAATATGGATTGAACCTCTGCAGCAGCACCCCACAGTAAAATGCCGTACGACATAACGCTATGAAAGTAGCTATGGTACACAATTTTAGCCGTGTCCTCATCAGTAAACTGTCGGATTTTCTTTACTGCATATGCTGCAGAGCTCAGCCTATTCGAAAGAGTCTCTATGTGTGGGCCCCATTGGAGTTTACTATCTATTGTTATGCCTAGAAAAACAGTTTTGTCAACAAAGTTTAGTTCACTGTCCTTAATTTTCAGGTTACCAATATCTCGCTTTACGCTAGTAGTTGTAAATCTAATACATTTTGTTTTATTCTCATTAAGCAATAAGTTATTTACATTAAACCAGTTAACTATACGAGAGATAGAATTGTTTACATCGTCCAATAATACGTTATTCCTATTCACTTTAAATAGAAGTGAAGTGTCATCAGCAAACAATACCATCTCATGGAACTTCGTTGACAAAGAATGGGAGGTCATTTATGTAAATCAGAAATAAGAAAGGCCCGAGAATCGATCCTTGGGGACGCCCATTGATACCTGCGAACCCGGAGAGGTGACTCCATTGACATGAACTCTTTGGATCCTTCCCTTTAAAATGAATTCATCAGGTGGAAGCTTTGCCATCAACGCCATAGTGTTGAAGCTTTCCAACGAGTATATCAGGATGAACACAGTCAAAGGCCTTTGACAGGTCACAAAAGACGCCGACTCCATCATATGATTCTTCCCAGGCGTTAAATATGTCCGAAATCAACTTCACACCGGCATCGATTGTGGAGCGACCCTTAGTGAAACCATACTGTTTATTATGTAAGAGTTTATTTTTATTAAAATGTAAAGAAAGCTGGTCTAGCATTATCTTTTCAAAAACTTTGCTCAACGCAGGGAGCACGGAAACAGGTCTGAAGTTTGACGGATCAGACTCACTACCGGCCTTGAACAACGGTGTAATCTTACTTAATTTCATTTCGTCCGGAAAGACTCCACAATCGATACATCTGTTAAAAATTATAGACAATTCAGAGCTTATTACATTAATAACGGAATTTAAAATGACTGTTGACATACCCCATATATCTTTACTTTTTTTTAAATTAATAAGCTTAAAAGTTTTAACGATATCATTACAAGTTATATGTTTAAACTGAAATTTAATATTACATTCAGGTACACATTTTTCTAGCAATGAGATCGCAGCAGCAGGTGAAGAATCTAGGGACTTGGTCGTATTTAGTGGTACATTTGTAAAGAACTCTTCAAAAGAAGAAGCTACCTCTGGGTCAGATTTTATTAACTTCCCTTTAATTTTTAACATATAATCAGTTCGTTTGTCAGACGTTTTACCTGATTCTTCATTTATTATTTTCCAGGTAGCTTTTACTTTATCCATGTATTTTTTATTTTTGAACTTAAATATTGAGACTTTGCAGTTTTGCAATCTTTTTTGAAATTATTTGAATACAACCTAACATATTCCCTAAATTCCACACTAGTGTTATATTGCATTTCGTCATAGATTTCATATAATTTTAACCTTTTCCTGTGTAACTCCTCATTTGCCCAGTCACAGAAACTTGTTTTCTCAGAGACCAATAAAGTCTTTTGAGTAAATACTTTCTTGAATTCATCAATAAATGATCCAAAAAAAGTATTGTATAAATTATTAGGGGATGAGTTGCCACACAGAAATGGCATTCTATAGACCAATGCTTCTCTAAATCTGTCCAAACGGTCATTTGTAATAGGAGTTATCACAATTTTCTTCTTTTTACATGTTTTTTGTTTCCTTAATTGAATTCAAACCATTGACCAGTGTGATCAGATTTAAATCTATTGAAAATACAAACATTCAAAGGGGCTATGTCACTATATATATTATCTATACAAGTTGCGGTGCTAGCTGTTATTCTTGTGGGTGAATGAAATTGATTTATTAAATTGTATGAACGAAAAAGACTAAGTATGCGTACACTTGAATTAGAATGACAAAGTAAATTGACATTAAAGTCCCCACACACAATTAGCCCTTTATTACACTTTACTAATTTACACAATATCTCCTCTAATACATTTTCAACATTATTATAGACAGCTGATGGAGGACAATATAGACATACAACAATGAATTGCTCCAGTTCCACACAGGAGATTTCAATAGTTAGTTCTACAGAGAGGCGTAATATCCTTTCTTTCTTTGCATTTAAGTTTTTTACTTATTAGGATTAATGAGCCACCATGAATTGCATTTTCTCTGCAAAACACACTACCAACCCTGTGGTTACAAAAATTAAACAAAACTTCATATTTTTTTAACCAGGCTCTGTTATGCACAAAAGTCTTTTTTTGACTATTCAAGAATAGTTCAATTTCTAATTCTTTATTTTTCATCCCTGAATTTTGATGAACCACAATAATTTTTGTGGAATGAATTTTATCACATAATATACTTACCTTATTATTGCAAGAGTGGTGCTCTGTTGTCCTATTATCTAATTTAAATAAATATAATTTGGAATTTCTTCCAAGGTCTTATAATCTAATGCTTGCTCAATAGAAGCAAGGGGTCTAGCCAAATTCTTGGCTGTCATCTCTATAAAATATGATAGCGAAACAGCTATCTGTCTTTTTAAGAAAGCAGGTAGGTAATAATATCTACCCTTTGTAATAAAAAACTTTTTCGTATACCTATTGGTATCTATGACACAAAATTTATCATTATACATTGCCAATGTATGCAATGTTTGATTAAGAATATATCTTGTGTCATTTTCTTTCGCTTAGGAAAGCTTTGGCTATAGGGAAATGTAAACATAACAATCCTCTTAGAGTCTAAACAACAAAGTTTTTCATATACTAAGATCATGTTTATTTACATTTCCTGTTCCCTATAAAAATTATTAAATTATTACATTTATCATTGTTTTTGATTATATGATTTTTCACAATGTTTTTAAAAGTGGCATTGGGATAGCAGCTGTTTATAAATGTTTGGCCGTCATTTAATTGTACAATAGTACCCATGTCCTTACCCATTTCATCGGAATACATTAAATTCCTTTCTTTTGCCTTAATTTTTTTCCTTTAACTGAGTGTTTGTTGTGGTGTAGGTGAGGCTGTGAGTGTGTTGTGATGTCTGTGGTAATTGGAGGCTTTTATAATTGCAACCATAAGTTTTATGACCAAGTATGTCCAATTCCCAAATAAAGGACGGAGCGGGCGAGATGAACTGGATAGTTCGCTGCCGTTCTTATTAATCACCAATATTTTGGTTTACAAAGAAATAGTAAGGAACTGCAACCATAACAGCATGCTTGATATTGATATAAAATAATAAAAAACACTTAAATTAAAGCGTAAATTAGATTGAAGTGTCGTTTGAAAGCAACAAACATATTACAGTCTAAATAAACGTTCCCGACATCCAAGTAAATCCATGATCCAGGTGATATAGCGCAATCTATTTTATTCTCCCACATAAATATTTAGCGAGAACGTTCAGACTTTATTCCACACAGCTTGAGAGCTCTGTATACTTTATACCAGTTATTAAATGTTAGTTTAACTCATTCTAGTTGCAGAGGGTTTTTAGTCGAGCACTTTTGTCTTACGGTTCGTTTTAATGTTTATAACTATTTACGAAACACGGGAACCTAGTTCAATGATAAACGGGAAAGAATTTAAATAATTCATTGCCAATTCTTTTGCTATTATAATTAGTATCTAACCATGATGAATGTCAAAGTATCAGGGATTATGTAATAGGAGGCAAACGGGCAGGAGGCTCACCTGATGTTAAGTGATACCGCCGCCCATGGACCCTCACATCGCCAGAAGGCTCGCGATTGCGTTGCCAGTCTTTTAAAACTTAGTACGCTCTTTTCTTAAAGGAAGGGGAAGTCGAATTGGGAAATACTTCAGTGGGGTGGTTCCACGTAGTGGTGGTGCGCGGCAAAAACTGCCTTAAGAAACGCTCAGTTGTGGAACGACGGACGTCGAGGTTATTTAATATTGACCTAATAGTGAGATTAGAATATTAAATTAGAATTACGTTTTACATTACATTATTAATAATTAATTATTATATAGTAATATAGCCTACTCAGGGATATTATTATTATATCCCTGCGTAGGCTATATTTATTTCAGAATTAGTTAAAAAAAATAATGTGCGAAGTCGGGACTCTGTATATTGGAATTATAATTTTTAAAACAAACTGTTTTGTATTTGTTTATAGATGTATAATTCTATTATTATTAGTATCATAAAAATAATTTAACAAGTTTTGAACTATGCCGACATCACAATAAATACGATAATTTATTTAAATTCTTTATTATTTAAAGTCAAGATACCTTTTAATGTTGAAAATTTATTCCATGACAGATCAAGATGAGTAATTTTATTATTGACTTCCAAAACTCCAGCAAATGCCAACGCAGATTCCATGCCCAGATCATTGTAGCTTAAATTTAACCTACGACAAAATTGCATATTATGTTGTGTGAAAATAAATAAAAATGTGTTTATTCATTATAAGTGCATTACAATGTGTAAGATTTGGGAACCTAACTTGTTAATTCCAACTCTTCCATAAACTTAATATACTCGTAAATTAAGAAAAAAAAACAGTGGCGCTAAAACCTTCATGGGGTGGGCCTCAGATTTATGTATCTGTTTCATGATCATTTGTCAATCTAATAGGCAAGTAGGTGATCAGCTTCCTGTGCCTGAAACATGCCATCGACTATTTGGGTCTTAGGCAAGCCGGTTTCCTCACGATGTTTTCCTTCACCATTCGAGCGAGTGTTAAATGTGCACATAGAGATAAAGTCCATTGGTGCACAGCCGGGGATCGAACCTACGACTGCAAGGATGAGAGTCGCACGCTGAAACCACTCGGCCAACACCGCTCGCAAAGTAAGAAAAAAAATAGTTTTTAAAACTGTTTACAACAAATTATGTGTATAAACGTGTAACTACGTGTTAGGTTAGCTAACCTTTACAAAACGGTTAAAGGACTAAGAAGTCCTTTAACCGTTTTGTAAAGGCTTGGAGTTTAGGCTTGTACTTTCACACCCTTCCCCTATATATATAAACAAGTCAAGGCTTAAAAATTGGTTGTTGTAAGTCCGGGCTGCGCGATAAAAAACTGAGTTTTTTGGATAGTTAGTGTTGCTGTGAGCATCATGAAACAATTAATATCTACATAAACGAAAAAGCCATACGATGCTATTAATTTAGCTCTGTTTTTTTAAACAATATCTCTCATATACGACTTTCACCATTCCGTGAAAAGTCGGCAACACACCTGCTAGCCCTCGGCGTTGCAGGTGTCCTTCGGCGGCGGACCTTTATTCAGTCCTGTATGTGTTACATGTTCGTTGAACAATTATATATGTTACCTTTTTACAATCGCTCCTAAAACAAATTGATCGGCTAGATATTTGAAGCCCTCATCTCCAATATTGTTTTTGGATAAGTCCAAAACTAGCATCATCCGTTTATATAGCTTTGACACAAGTCTCTTCATGCCACTAGGATGAATTCTGTAAGCACATACATTTTAAGACAAATAAATGTTTTCCGAAATTCAAAATTGTTTATTTTATACCATACAGTAACAAAATTATATACAATGTGTGTCCCTTATAAGTACAAATTACTTGTGACCCTGTCACCTAGCTCTTCCGTTATTTATAACGTAATAAATAAATACGTGTATTGTACTAATGATAGATTATGTAGGTGAATGTGTAATGTTATGTAAAACATGTTATATAATGTTATATAAACACTCCAGTTCTGTATAACTCAAGTTTTGCTATTGTTATATGTTGCTTTAACCTATGCCTAAAAATAAACCAGTGGCGCTACAACCTTTTTAGGTCTCAGATTTCTGTATCTATCAGCCTTCTATGCCTTTGTCGAGATTTTGGGTCTACGGCAAGCCGGTTTCCTCACGATGTTTTCCTTCACTCTTCGAGTGAATGTTAAATACGCTTAAGACAGAAAGTCCATTGGTGGAGCCGGGAACATACAACTTCAGGGATGAGAGTCGCACGGTGAAGCTACTAGGCCAACACTGCACTGACCTAAGCGGGTAAATTAATGATTCTGTATTACTATGGTATGCCTTTATATTATAATTAAAGTGTGACGCTAGAACACTAATTAAAAAACAAAGATTGTAACAACAAAAAAAATGCACGTCTTACAAAGCATATACCGTATAGAAGGCAAGAGCAGGGCAACAATATAGAGTCAATACAGCGTGAATTTCTATGCAAAATGTAAAGGAAAAAGTATCAACGAAAAAAAAAGGATTCACATTTATAATATCATGATTGTACTAACACTACGTAGTTTAAAATAAATACCAAAAAGCTGCATAATTTAAAAATTACCTGCATCCCGATAATACCAGTTCTTTAATTGTCATATTTTCACCAAGTAATTGACCAAGATGATAACAGCCGTCATCGTCCAAAAAATTTGACGTTAGATCTATGCGTACAACATGGGGATTGACCTCAAGTGCCATACACATTGCCCATATGCTTGGTCGACTTAAACCATAGTACTGTATATAATATATTATTGTAAATAGGCTGACAAATTTGCTTGAAAAATACGCCCTATATATCAATAATACTTTTTTAACGTTTAGAAGTTGTGATAGCTTAAATCTGCTTATTAATAATAATAATACAGTAGCGCTACAACCCTACATGGGTCTTGTTGTGTGAATTTTGGAGTTGAGACATGCTGATTTCCTCTCGATGTTTTCATACATCAAGATGTGCACATAGGTCGTACAATGGTACAGCCGGGGTTCGAATCTACTACCTCAAGGATGGGAGTCGTTCACTGCAACCACTAGGCACTTTCTTATTATTTTTTGCTCATTTAATTAGCTAAGCTACAGGTTAAGCTACCTAGATTATGAAGCAATCATCAATATTTAATAATAAAATATTGGCATGGAGTTCGTAGGCATTGTGTTTTTATATAAGAAGGATAAAGCGTTAAGTTACGTTTAGGGGTTTTAAGCGTACGGTTTTGAATTCGTAAATATTCTGTTTCACCAAACCAAAAACTATAAAAATTAGAAGGAAATTGAGGAGGGACCAAGATTCGATTTTATCTAATAATAATAATCTTTCTATTACTACTAAAGTTGATGTGAGCAGTGTTGGCCTAGTGGCTTCAGCGTGCGACTCTCATCCCTGGCAGTAATGGACTTTCGGCCTATGTGCCTTACTAAATGCTCGCTCGTACGGTGAAGAAAAACGTCGTGAGGAAACCGGCATTGCTTAAACCCAAAAAAGACGGTATGTGTCCGGCACATACGGTTGATCACCAGCTTGCCTACTAGAAATGAGCACGGAACAGATACTGAAATCCAAACCATTATAGGTTGTAGCGCCATTGGCATATACTCATAGTGAAACATAAATAAATCATTGTACATTTTGGGGAAAATGAAAGGCTTATAATTAAATAAAATTATCAATTAAAATTGATAGAAAACTAAAATTAAAAACTCACTTTCAGGTCGATAGTATGCTGCAACAAACCGCGGTGAAAATATCGAACTGGGATTAATTTCATTTCCTCACAAACATTTAAGTACAATTCTTGACCGTCCAGAGGATACGTTTTTCGTTTTTCTGTAAATATCAGTTTCGGTTTATTTAAAACGCGGCAACAGACTTGTATGAGAGATGTGTAACGTCATATTTTTTAGTTGTGGTGACAGTACCTGGTTCCAACAGCGCTTCCAAAATTCCAGGATTGACAACAGATGGATAGGCATAATATGGATGCCTTAAAACAGAACTATCTGACATAGGTATGTACTTTGCGCATATTTCTCCACTTCCAGGTTGGTATTTGCCCTCTTTGAATAGTATCATTTTTGGGCTAAGTTCACTAGATCCGGACTCCAATGATGACCATTCTTCTCTTGGAGGATCTTCAGAAGACAAAGAAAGCTTTGATTTTAGGAATAATTCGTGGATAGATGGTTCGTGGATAGATGGACTTGAGTTCGACATTGTTTTTGTTTTTGTTAAATTATTAACGATAATAATATTTGGAAATTATTTATAATAACTGGAACGTTCTTGGTCTTATTATTGTCATTTCTAATGTCATTCCGCCATTGACAAGTGACCAGAGTGTCTTTGATGTGATACTGACCAAAGAGTTTTTATTTAAGAAAAAGTATTTGTATAAGTAGTATAGAACGTCTTTGGAGCTAAATAATTTTTAAAGCTACGTCATAATATGACGTCTATAAACAATTATATTAGATATAGCTTTTAATATATATTATATACCATATACATCTATGATCTAAGAAACTCTAACAAAAATATAAAGTTTTTTTTTATAGAATGGGGGGCAAACGGGCAGGAGGCTCACCTGATGTTAAATGATACCGCCCATGGACACTCTCAATGCCAGCGGGCTCGCGAGTGCTTGCCGGCCTTTTAATAATTAGTACGCTCTTTTCTTAAGTACAAAGACGATCAGTTTTATCTGTTATGCTTTAATTAATTCACGTTATTACTTCAAGTAATATATATTATTCAAGGTTAATATACAATGAAATAAAGCATTATTGTTATGATCGTTAATTGATCTTTTGGAGGAGCTATCTAGCTGTACATGTTTCAGGAGCTATATTGTATATCTGTAAAACTTTAGTAGAGTCTGCCTGAGCCACGTGCCACGACCGTTACCACCTCCTTCAATTAATTATAATGGGTAAACGGCGTGTTTGTAGAAATCAAACAAGCTTCGTAATGTTAGGGAGTGGACGGGTATTGCGACAGCCGAAGAGTTCCAACAATTAGCAGAGAACGAGACTCGCTTCATGAGACTGTCGGACAACATCCAGTAATGGATAACAAAAGAACTTCAATCTCCACAGCTGATGTTTACTACCACCATTTAAATCGTAATTCTCTCATCTTTTCTAAACATACATAGAACAATAAATAATAGTAATTTGGTTTTTATATGTTCAAGAATTGGTTGCTCTTCTGTCAGTGTTTTTGAAAAATTTAAGTGTCAAATGGGTCAGCCTAGTTGTCCTAGAAGTAAAGTTTGGTAAGTCGATGGATACATTTCGGGAGCAGCTTTGCTTTTGGAGAATGAATTTGGGAGAGAAAATTAAACCGTAATTTTTTGTCCTTTTCTAAAGCTCTGATGCTGAATAAGCTACAAACGCAAAGTCAACAAAAAAATTAAAAACTGCGTTAGTTGTGTGACAGAAATGTTTTGAATTTTTTGTCCTTCATTAACGCCCAGTTTCCGAATCAGTTTAATAGCAAGATTTAATTAGATAACTCTAAATTGTGTTGCTAAAAGTGTGATATAATATGAAATTTGAATGCAATTTTTCGTACATATTTATTACGCCCATTTCAGTGGTTTAAACGGTGTTGCATGCATTGAAGCCCAACTAAAAATAACTAAGATTTATCTAATTAATCACAGAATCAATTTGACTTATTCGTTGTGCCAGTCGATTTTTTTTACAATCATCTTATAAAATATGCTAAGTTTGAAACACAGCATTTTTAAATTAAGATAATTAAAACCATCTGACAAACCATCTCAACCTATTCAGAGAGTAAGCAAGACCCTACACGCTAACACATCAGCCCTTCACACGCCCTTAAGATGGGCCCTCTGGGTCAGCTAAGTTAATATATCAGCATTTATATATTATTTTTATTTCTACTATAAATAAAGTCAGTAATTTTCGAAACTGACCTTTGTATCGCGAACATTTCACATCATGGTTTAAAAATTCTCCGATAATGGTATTGTGTTTGACTAGTATACGTTACTGATTTATTGCCTGCGATTGAAACAGATCACAATGCGGTTTTTATTTTAATACAAACCAATATTTTCATATATAAAACGATTGTTAATTACATTTCGAGCAGAAAGTTGGCATTTTTCATAAATTACGTGTTCGATTTGTGGCTGAAATTTTATTTAAAGAAAACACTTTTTTACCGGATTCAAGTTTTGTCGTCTTTTATTGACATAAATAATAATAATTCTATCATAGAATTTAAAGTTTTCACTTGTTTTAATAATAAAATTTTATAGTTTCGTCTTTTATTGACATAACTTTTACACATTTAAAGAAAACACTTTTTGACGGATTGAAGTTATGTATTATAGCCACCGTGAGCACGTGAAACGTCGGAAAATTTTAAAATTATGCAAAATAATAGTAAATTTATAATATTTGTATATTATAAATTTACTAAAACAAGTGAAGACTTTAAATTCTATGATAGAACTTAGTACTAAACATTCGACAAAACTAAATGGTTTGACGTATGAATTTAAATTCTTCACAGGCATTAAAGACAGGAGTACAATGTCGACGTATAGTGTTCCTTGCAAATACAGCGTACCTTGACCGTGTATAATATCCACCTACTGTTTTACAATAACAGGCATTGGGCTAATGGGATAAGTGGTGGTTCGAGCAAGGTTGCGAGCGCGCTGTCTACACAGTCCCGCGGCCACAGCCGCTCTGCTGACACTGCCTCACACTATATCAACAAATTGGTAAATGGCACCACTCGAACGCGTATCCGTTCAATCAAGTCAAGAAAAGAAGACTCAGTCCTCATCCTGAGATAGAACGATCGCAATATCAAAACTTTAGATAACGTGTGAATCATGGTTGACTAAATCATATCATCGGAATCATGAATGGAATTAGTGTTAACGCCGAAAAACATGGACCGGAAGAAGGAAAGGAGAAGTCTAAAGCGTCGAGTGTTAAGGATAAACTACTGTCTATACGATCCAACATAACAGTAGAACCAATAATAGCATGTTATATAATGTCCAATGTGTTTTCGGGGCTTGCTGTACAAAATTTGAATTTAGAAAAGGCCTGTCGAGTGAATCTGGGTTACAGTGATGAAGTGTGCTCAGCATTAAACAGACGACAGACAGAGAACTATACAACTGAAGAATCGGAGGTGCAGAAGTTGACAGCATCAGTTCAAGCGTGGAAGAACATCGTGCAGACAGCGTTTCCTTGCATTTTAGTACTTTTCGTAGGTTCATGGAGCGATAAGACTGGGAAACGGAAAGCGTGTATTCTTCTACCCATCGTTGGAGAGGTTCTATGCTGCACGTGCTTTATATTGAATACTTACTTCTTCTACGAGCTGCCTTTGGAAATAACGGCTCTTTCAGATCTGTTTCCATCGTTGACTGGTGGTTGGATAACCGTCTGCGTCGGTGTGTTCAGTTACATCGGTGATGTGACCACGAAAGAGATGAGGACCTTTAGAGTAGGAGTGGCAAATTTATGCATGTCCCTTGGAATACCAATTGGCATGTCACTTAGTGGTATTCTATTGCAAAAAATCGGATATTACGGCATATTTATGATATCCAATGTGTTGTATGTGACAAGTTTTATTTATGGATACGTCCGATTAAAGGATCCTGATTTTTCTCACGAACGACAGCGAGTAAGTTTATTTAATATTTACTATTTACTTAAGAATTTACAAAGCCAATGTTAGCACTGAGCAGAGTTGGCCTAGTGGTGGCTCGTGACTCTCATCCCTGGGCTTGGAGGTTCGAACCCCGGCTGTGCACCAATGGACTTTCTGTCTATGTGCGCATTTAACTCTCGCTCGTACGGTGAAGGAAAACATCGTCATACTGGCATACCTTAGACCCAAAACATTTGACGGTGTGCGTCAGGCACAGAAGTTGATCACCTACTTGCCTATTAGAGATGATCACGGAACAAATACAGTAATCGGAGGCCCAGACTTAAAAGATTGTAGCCATTGGTATATATATTGTTATTACTAAATTCATTCATAGTTTAAGTACTATGAAACAATGAATAACATGAGTAAGATTCAAACTAGTATCAAAATGTGTTAAATACATTTTTACTCTGTGATGTTTTATTGAATTTAATTACAATTCTTTGAATACATACGTGTAAAGTAGAGAATTACATATATAAAATTATTAGGATTTAATAAGTTAGGTTTTAGGGGGTTGGATCCAATGAACCGATTTTGAAATTTCTTTTACTAATAGACAGCTACGTTATGGCGTGTAAATGTCTTGGGAGTGCCATAGGCTGTATAAACCCGAGAACATAAACTTTTTTGTAGATATCGGATTTGCAAAGTCGAAGAAAAAATCGTCACTGTCGTAGAATAGTGACGGATCTGACAAATAGTAAACTTTACAGGGCAGCCACTTTGAAATAATATAATCATGTTAGTTTTGTTGTAATAACTTTTTAATTCATATTCTGTAATTATTAAAATTGGCATACAGTCGAAAAGGGTTTGTTTTGAAACAAATTAAAAATAATAACATTAATTTACACAGTTTTCTAGAAAATGCTATTAATCAGTCGGTAAATATATATAATTATATATTTACCGACTGATTAATTTGAAATTAAAAACACATGCATTTTTTTAATGTAGCCGTAATATTTAGTCAATGTAGTAAGCAAATATGATAAAAAGTGGATTTTTTTAAATCCGACATTGTTCTACGATCATGACGAAATGTTCCAACGAAAATAAACAAAAAAAATAAGAGCTAATTCATGAATTACATTACAATAGGTACAATATATAGAGATTGATAGGATATGGTTGTGTTGTGTAGTTTAATTATCAAACGGGAGAGTCAGCGACATGATATATCTTACTTTTATATTATATAAAAACAAGTCCTCCGTCTCGTCTATCGAACGCGAACAGACATCGCGATAAACGCAAAAACTGCTACGCGGAAGTTGTTTCGGTTTTGCGTCAAGGTTTCCGGGTCACCATTGCCCGTGCCGGGGCGCGCTAGTAACATAATTTGTTTTATATAATGGAGGCAAACGGGCAGGAGGCTCGACTGATGTTAAGTGATACCCATGGACACTCACATTGCCAGAAGGCTCGCAAGTGCATTGCCCGCCTTTTAAGAATTGGTACGCTCTTTTCTTGAAGGACTCTAAGTCGAATTGGTTCAGAAATACTTCAGCGGGCAGCTGGTTCTACATAGTGGTGGTACGCGCAATTGTGGAACGACGGACGTCGAGGTAATATGGATGGTATTTTGTATTCTGCCTCGACGTCCGATAGTGAATCTCAGCTGCAGGTATTACCGAACAACTCTTCTGAACTAAAAAAACATTAATACGAATATGATATTAACCGCTTAAAAATATTTTTAATATTAATAAGAATTAGGAACGAATAAAATAGAATTTCATTATTTTGTTTTGAATTAATAACGACCAATAATGTTCTTACCACCTGTGGTTACGCGTCGGTGGGAGAATTTATTAAATTAATATTACTACGCGGGAATTTTGGGATGATACTAGAGCCATCGAATTTATTGGATTCCGAAGTCAAACTTAGGTTTTAATAGGTATACAATTATTTATATTATATATTAAATATACTGGTAAATATAGTGTCGAATTTAATTTTGTACGAAAAAATTGTTTAAAAGGCCGGCAACGCACTTGCGAGTCCTCTGAAAATGAGTGTCCATGGGCGGCGGTATCACTTAACATCAGGTGAGCCTCCTGCCCATTTGCCCCTGGTTCTATTAAAAAAATGAAACATCGCCTAGTACTTTATGTAAGCATTTTGCTCATCAACAATAGAGGATTGCTTATTTATGTGTATATATGAAAATACAATTGAGACTCTTTTAAAATGTAAGAGAGTATCGGTCGGTAGCGTAACATCAACTTCGTGGTGTAACAATCCTGAACGTGTAAGAACTTGGCCTACTATTTCTATTATCCTATCATACACGTTGTTTTATATCTCATTCTTTTCAAATCCCGCCAGTCCTGACTGCACTGTGCCACTCTCTGCTATGTACCACCTGCTGTTTCCTGTTGTCTATCCATCTTCTAAATTGTTTCTCCTCTTCTGCGTTTATTGTACCATGGGCACCACTTACTTGCTCCACGTTTTTGTTCCCCTTGCCATGTCCTTACCCATTTCCACATAAGGAAAGGTTCATTGAAATTTACTAAAATATTTCTGGCATTTTTGCAATAACATAAGTTTGTTGTGACACCTAGTAAATGTAATATATATAATGCTCGTTTCTCAATGTTCGTTCTCATACTCCTCCGAAACGGCTCGACCGATTCTTATGAATTTTTTTACACATATTCAGTAACTCGGAGAATCAGCTACTATCTATCTTTCAAACCCCCAAAAGTTAAGGGTTACCCCAAAATTTTTTTTTTAGATAAAATTTTTGTTTTTACTTTACATATAACATACAAAAATACATATAACCCTTAATTGTCACCCCTCTACGATCAACCCCTACTTTTTATTATTGTAGATAGTTATTTTTATTGAACTAAAAAAATGTTTCCTAGAAATAATATATATGGCAAAACGACATATGCGGGTCAGCTAGATATCTCTAATAATATTGAAATTAATTGAGAGTCTTAAGGAATATTTCGAGTATACGGTTACTAATGGACATATAATGTATAATAAAAGTAATCAAAACGAAGCATTAAGAGGAGGAAATACGACATAATAAGGATAATATGATATAAAAACATTTTTAGTGATATTGAGAAATTAATTTAAATGTCAGAAGCCAAATTAATTGTAGTTAAAAGCTACTTAGAAATAAATAAATATTACCCCAGAAATACATAGAAATTTGAACTTTTCTTTTAGCTATATACTATACTCTATTTAAAGTTAGGATCCTAGAAAAGAGCTTAACAATTCTAAAAAGGTCGACAACGCATTCGCGAGCCTTCGGCAATGTCCATGGGGTATGATTTAACTTCCGGTGAGCACTTACCCAGTTCCCATCTGTTCTATAAAAAAAACTAGTATAGGAAGTATTTGCTATTTTCGATATTGTCGATATTGTATATTGAAATTTTCATAAAAGTTTTTTTTTTCTTTATTTTGTTTCCGTAGAAGCTACTGCAACAAGATTTTGTCTTTGATTTCGTCTAATTTGTCTATAGTTTTTGCGACCTTTAACAAAAATCGTAATATTTCAGTCAATTTACATAACATAATGAATACTTATTCGCAGTAATAATCTCAATTGATACACCAATGTGAAAACTTCGTCCGCAGCGTTCTTATTTGTCTTCATTTATAATATCTAAAGATCTTGATTGCAGTTAATTATCGCAAACAAGCGAAGAGAAAGATATGGTACCGAGAATATAACCTTGATTGAGAACACTGCTATCAAATCTTAAATCCAGGAACGCCTCACAAGTGACACGGAATCAATCGTGAGACAATGTTAATAGGAAGCTTAGGTTTAGTACTCGAATCATTCATCATTCTCGCGTACTCGGTCCTATGTCTAAAGTGATAAATTGCCCGCTACGCAAATTCGAGGGGAGTACGAGGTTCAGAGAGGTGGAAATTACAATGTCTTATCCAGTTTATTGATTTGCCAGTGTTAGTGGAATGTGAAAATGAATTTTCGATTTCTTGATGATTTTAGTATTCGCGTATATCGACAGGAGCGAATTTTATTGTTAAAACTCTCGAGAAAAATTACATTATTGAAATAAAGATAGCTCCTTTTCCTTACACATAATAAATTAAAAACCCTTCCACTCTGCCCCAACATGCTTCTCTTGACCAAACCGTGCCTGAAACCAGTTTTGTTTCATCTTCCCTCTTATACTCTTATTCGTATTATAGAATTTCGGTTTCCTACCTTTCCTTCACAGCCATGATGCGAACGCCTGATTTCAGGGTATGGAGTCAAGCCATTAGGCCAACAAGCTCTAGAGATTAGATACAGATTCGAAAATGCCAAAGGAAACTTATATACTAACTAGCAGACCTGCCAAGCGTTGCTGTGGCTAAGGTTTTAGTAAAAATTACATAGTAGTAACCTATTCAAGGGAAACGATAGGAGAACACCAGTCATGGGGACCACCATGGTTTTTTGATGGTTATGCCATTAAATTGTAGCTTATATGAAACGTTGGTACTTTCAACACAGCGCCATCTGTTAGAATTGTGACTATCAAATAATAAATAAATATTTTGCACTAATATAATATTGCGGGAATAAATTGAGATGTAAGCTATCCTATCTTTTAAGTTGGATTAAACTACACACGGTGTGCAAATTTTATTGATATCGGTTCGGTAGTTTAGGAGTCCATAGCGGACAAACAACGTGACACGTAATTTATATTAAGATGAACTTGTCTTATTTTTAAAACGATTGTGCTTATGTATTTTATAAATTCTTTATAGATAGATGTTCCGTTTTATATAGAAAAGCTTTTAAAATATCGGTAAGTCTGGTTTCTATTGCTTTTGTTATGATTTTTGAGACAACTTACTAAGCTAAGCTGTTTTGGTAGAATTAATTAAGCATAAGTTTGCGTTTTAGCGATATTGCCGACAATTCCGTTTTTTGATTTTTATATTTGCCCTTTTCAAAAGTATAAGTAAGTATAAATAAATATAAAATAAATAGACAAAAACAAAATCCATTACACCTTTAACCATAAAAATGATTACAGCTATAAGTTGTCGCAGACTCCTCACCACAGTTTAATGACAAGATATCTAAAAAAAATAATTAATTAAATATTATATATAACATTTGTTTAATTTATAAAATCTTTCTTGTTTTCATTAAAAAAAATAAGTTAAACAAGGAAAATTAACTCAGATATATTAAAGCTGTATTAGAGTTCTAATATTGCATGCATTAGATTTCTATACTAATACTACGTATAGTGGACCCCACAGACGTTGTCCTGCATGATATTTAAAGCGATTAGGATATTAAGCAAAGTATGAAAGTACCGACTGCAGTGCCATCTGCCGGGCTGATTTGTGAATCTAAACCATTCCCAGATCCCCTTGAACACACACAAAAAATTTCATCAAAATCGGTCCAGTCGTTTGAGAGAAGTTCAGTGACATACACACTCACAGAAGAATTATATATATAAAGATTATAAAGAGGATAAATTTGGAACGATTGCCCTCAAAAACTTGACTTTTACTAAATGGTGTATTATCTACTTAATGTAATCTTATGTAGTACGCGAATAAAGGCATTTTTTTATATCATCTATTTATTAACAAAATATTTAAAAAAATATAAATTGTCGATGTGAAGATCCGCCACAAATAAAATAAATCATTAAAAAACTAAAATTTGAAAAGATTGGTCCTTGTGGCAGAGTACCCTTAATGCTGGCTGCATTTCCTCGCGCAATTGCGGTACTTATATGTAGGGTGAGGAAATCACCAGTTTTGGGTCACCGGTACTGTCTGCCAGGCGCCAACTTATCTTTGATAAGTGGCTATGCAGTTGTACTCTTACGGGCTCTACTCTAAAGGGAGTAAACCCAATATAAAAGATTCTTGTCTATTATCTATTATTATCTAATTCTCGTGTCACAGTTTTCGTTGCCATACTCCTCCGAAACGGCTTGACCGATTCTCATGAAATTTTGTGCGCTTATTGTGTATGTCTGAGAATCGGACAACATCTATTTTTCATCCCCCTAAATGTTAAGGGTAGTCCACCCCTAAATATTTTTTTTTTTATTTCTAGATATTTTTTTCTGTTTTTATTTTTTTATGATACAACATTAAAAAATACATACAAACCCCTAACTTTCACCCCTCTACGATCAGCCCCTATTTTTTTATTATAAATGATATATATGGCAAAACGACGTTTGCCCGGTCAGCTAGTATACTATATTTTAGAGAATAAATCTCTGGAACGATTGATCTGATTTTGTATTTTTTTAAATAATAGAAACATTTACAAAATAAATATTTTCCGAAATGGTCAAACAATTGTAAGATCCCGTGTATAATCGTAACGTAATCTACATTCCAGAGATATCATGTTTCCAACACTAGAATTATTTACAATAAATCGTTTTCGATTTTGAGCATGATTCTATTACCACAGTAAAATTTTATTTGCTTAAGTCTATTATCTTATTATATATTAAAGTATCTATCCACGACCGAACCGTCTTAAGAAAGTAATAGACACGTTCGATCATATAAGAAATGCATCGCTCTGTTCCAGATACAGCCTGTGGGTTGTCGGGGATGGATATGTTCATTCTTCGATGTTGGTCACGTACGGGAGACCCTCACAGTTGCCTTCAGAAGTGGACCTGGTCGCAGAAGGCTTCGTGTATCCTTGCTCATCGTTGTGGTGTGCGTTATATTCGGACCTCTCCATGGTAAGCGTGTAAATTAACTTATTGCGGAGGAAATAAATTTCATCATCAACATCACTACATTAGACTTCATTTCAATGAAATAAGAATAGCTATATTTACTTTTATTTAATAATTGTTAGGTTCTTTCATCAATTATAACGAATATACGAAAAAGTAAAGAAATGAGCAGTGTTCTCTTAGTGGCTTCAGCGTGCTTTCATTCCTAAGGCCGTAGGTTCGATCCTCGGCTGTGTACCAATAGACTTTTTTCTTTGTGCGCATTTAACATTCGCTCCAACGGCGAAGGAAAACATCGCGAGGAAACCGGCTTGCCTTAGACCCAAAAAGGAAACTGGAAGCTGATTACTTATTTGCCTATTAGATTGACAAATGATTATGAAACAGATACAGAAATCTGAGGGCCAGACCTAAAAAGGTTGTAGCGCCACTAATTTATTTTTAATCGAAAAAGAAATTCATATAATAAGAAATAAATTACATGTACAAAAATATAGTCCGCAAGGCAAAATACATATAAAATTTCCTCGAATACTTGTCCGACTTCGATACTTTTTAATCGACATCAAAATCAACACTATGGCGTTGATGGCCCCCTGATAATTCATATTAAAAAAAAAAAAAAAAAGAGGGGGGGAATGAACATTCTCATACAATAAGAAATAAATTAAATGTACAAAAAAATTATAGTAAACTAAATTAATAGCAAAATACATAGTAAACTAATGGGGCCCAACATAAACTTTCGATAGGCTGAGCTGCTGCATCGCGTTGTGAATATGCCGTACGGCTTTTGGTTCTTGGTGCTGCTTGCAGAGGTTCAATCCATATTTGTGCTGCAGAAGCGGGCTGTTGGGTGGGTTTGGGGTCGGTACGGAATCAGTTTAAGAAAAAAAAAAAAAAAAAAAAAAAAAAAAAAAAAAAAAAAAAAAAAAAAAAAAAAAAAAACAAAAAAAAACAAAGCTTGTTTAATCGACATCAAAAGTTAATAAGCATTAATCCTATGCATAATTTTCTTTTATTTATTACATATTTGTACAAACATAAAATTTCGCAAAGTTAACATATTACACATAAATTTATGTTGTAATTTTTTAAATAAAAAAATCAAACTAGTGAATTAATGTGATTGCACGTTAGTCATAAGTGTACACACTAAGTGTAAATAGTACACAAGAACAGAGTGTCTTCCTTTTAATAGACGATAAGTAGTGTGGGACACTTTCTTATTTTAAACATCCTTTTTAGTAAATTAAGTTTGTTTACATTACTTAATAGTCTGAACTCTTTGTGCAGAGTGAATTTATAAAATAACATTAATTTCTTAACATCTACCCGCTCACCGTCTGCAATGTAAAGATACGACTAAAGGACTGGCTTCTGAGCATACTTTGCGCAGTGTTAGAGATGCTTTTGAGACCTAGTATGTAGTTACACACTTTTTTCATTCACTCACACAATTGCACCCACACACTCATGCACTCAGGCGTATTGATAACAGTTGAAAAGTAAATAAAATAAAAGATGTAATTAAATTATATATAAATATATTCTAAGGAATTCATACTTAAGTTTGTTATGGAAGAGCTGGGAACCTTGACACAGGTATTTCTTACTTAAAAGGGTTCCCAAATCTTACACATTGTTCAGGCCGAGCTATGCTCGCCAAAACAGCCCGAGCTGAGCTGTAAAGGCCCTTAAGGCCAACAGCGAGATTCCTTACAAAACATGGTACTTTTTTAAGTATAATGGTCAATCGGGCCTAGCCCATATCCAAATCAAATCAAACAAGAACATCTTTGCAGAATTTAACTCCTGACGTAATGTCAATGATCTAATTTTCGGATTTTCGTCTGTCTTCTTTAAAATCGAAATTTCAGTACTATTATTATAGTTATAAGAACCTCACAAACATCAAATATTGAAGTGGAAAATTAGAGGATGCTTTAATCTTTGAAACAATTTTGTTGAATCATGTGTTTACCGGGATATAGTACTTATGTACGTGATTAGTAATTTAATACTATGAGGTATTTTTTTAATATTTCTGTAGGCGTTAAAGTAGATTGAGCAATGCATAACTATGCCCTGGGATGTTTGTATATATGGCGTTCCTAGTATGCTTTACTAAAATACTCTTTCTATTTTGACCTGTACTGTACCGGGAATCATCGCGAGGACACCGTATGTCTGAACTGACATGTATCAGGCACAGAAGGCTTGTAAAATTATTAAATGATATACCTAAATCTGTGGGTAGCACTTAAAAATTGTAGGACCAGCTGTCCACTAACGAATTTCCGAACCAATTCTACTTAAAGTCCTTCAAGAAAAGAGCGTACCAATTCTTAAAATGACGGCAATGTGATTATCTATGGGCGGCGGTACCACTTAACAACAAGTGAGCCAGGAGGCTCGGGCAGGCCCGTCTGTCCCATGTTATTTAAAAACTTGTTATTTTTTAAAGTAATAAATATGTAATACAAAAATCTTGATAATTACTCAAAACATAATTTTCTGCATTCATACAAAGCGCGTAGCAATTACGACAGGTTTTTGAATTAAGAACTTTGGGATTAAGACCATAAATAAGACGAATCGTATTATAGTATTGTCTTTTATTGACATAACTTTTAGACATAGAAAAACACTATAATAATATAATAAAACATAACTTCAAATCCGTTAAAAAAGTGTTTTTCTACGAATCGTATTTCTGTGATTGGTCAAGAGCATCTCTAGTCCAACAAACATTCATCTCGAAGTGTTTTTTCGATTGACTAGACGAAATGCGAGTCTTTGAAATTGTTTCACCTAAGGGTTAAGGTCTTCGAAGGTAGAAGAGTCTTTGAGTCGAAACTTAGGGCTTAGTAAGACTGTATTTGTGTTTAGGGGCATTAGTAATAATGTTATTCTTTTGTAGGTGAAATGAACGTGCTTTATCTGTTCATGAGATACAGATTCAACTGGGACGAGGTGCAATTCAGCATGTTCTGCACGTATAGTATCATTACTAATTTAGTTGGTAAGTCATATTATAAATCTTAGTAAATTACATATAGACACGTTTTAAACAAATTTCTTGAAACTTACATACTTGCACCAACGAAATTTTAGAAATTAATTTCTAAAATGATGATATGATGACGTTCAAAATTTTTTCATACAAATATCTGTAGGCATTTTGTTCCTTAGGATATATTACTTTGTCAAACTGTATCACGCTAGAGTTACTGGTGTATAACCCTCTATTAAATCTTTCACATTAATAAGCAGACATCTGATGTCCTGTACACATATCTAAAACACATTTCAAAATTAAAAAACTATTCTCGAATTCACTTTTAAACACTCATAAAAGTCGGTCTACCCATTTACTGCATTACGACTTTGTCGGGAAAGATTCGAGTAGTGGCACTGTTAATGATAATATCGGAACGATTAGCTTATAGAAACTCTAAATAAACATATCAACAACCATGTGAACATGTTTATATAATACTTTTTGATTGTCACGGATAAGCTAAGATAATCAACAAAGTTAAAAGGATGTTTTTGGTTTCCGTTGGGACATAAATCTTATTTGTACATATTCCCGATAATTAAAAATATTTATAATGGTGTTTAAACAAATTGTATTGTCTGTATTGTAAAATTACAATAAATCATCAAATGATGAACAAGTTCAAGATATTCTCTCCCAATACTGTCGGCAGTCATTCTCTGAAATCTTGTACATTGCCAATTTAAACAATTGTTCCACTGACTTGAATCCCATCCACTGTCAGATATTCTTTAGCCATTTCGTGCTTATCAGGATTACATTTAGAATTTTGCACATCATTTTGGTCTGCAAAAGTCTGTACTGTGAGACTTTTCTCTGCTTTATGGTACGGTTCTACCGTTGAAGTTACTAATATAATTAATTAATTACAAAATGTTCTAATTTCAGGAACTCTATTCTCTATCAGCATCTTCAGCGATTTCATGAAGTTGGATGACTCTGTGGTGGGCATCATTTCTTGTACCAGCAAAATCCTCGCATCTTTTATCTTCGCTTTTGCAACCACTACCACCGAAATTTATATTGGTAATAATCATTGATAAGTACTTTTGTTTTCCGCCAGAGTGAGTCAGCATGGGTTCGATTCCCGTAATAAAAATGCCTAATCAATGAAATAGATGCAAAATTGTGTGATGATGATGATGTGTGAGAGGTTGCGATTCATAAAATACATATTATATTAATGACGTAAGTATATTTTTAAAAACACAAATAAGTAATCAAAATTAATCTTAATAATTAATCTGTGTTAAATTTGAACATTTTTGATAGCATTGTAGTTAAATAATAAATTTTAATTTAAGTAATATTTTTAGATATTTACACAGGTAAATTTTTTTGACAGGTATTAAAGGTTTAATTATTATAAATTACTTTTATATAATTAAACCTAAATATTAATTATTTCTACTTTTAGCGCCGTTAGTGGAAATATTCAACGGTACATCGTTTATAGCTATGAGATCCATTGCATCAAAACTTGTGACAAGCGAAGAGTTGGGTAAGTTACTTTTAGTATACTTTCGTTATTAAGCATTTTTAAGACGGAATTCCACCCGTATCACCTAGACTCCAGAACTGAGAGTTCCATAAGGCAATTTTACTACTATGTGGAACCAGCTGTCCCCTGAAGATGAGACATCAGATGAGCCTGCTTGCCCGTTTTGCCCTGTTCTATATAAAATGAACTGAATATAATGAACAAAAATACTGAACATTCTCTTAATATGAGGTCATAATGACACAGATTTTTAGTTTACTTTCTACAAATCCAATTATAAAAGTTCTAATAAAATTAAGCGTAGGCTGGGGCAATATGGCTATTTATTGCGATTAAATAAATATATCTACATCTATATACTAACAGAGTGAATGACTGTGACTGTGACTGACTGTGGCTGTGACTGACTGTAATTTTTTTATTTATATTAAAAAAAACGTAAAGCGAATGACGCTACAACCGTTGGGGTATTGGGCTCAGATTTCTTGATCATTTCCTTTTTCTAATAGGCAAGTAGCAAACACGCCGTCGACTTTTTGGGTCCAGTTCCAGTTTCGTCACGATGTGCTTTATTCAATGTAATATCGAGTGTTAAATGCGCATATAGAAAGAGAATAGGTACCAACACTATTCCGTTTCTATTATTAATGAATTGCTTTAAAATGTCATAGAGCATGGTATAATGGATGCACCGTGCAAATATTTTGTAAAAAGCCGATATAAAAAGAGTGGACAAGAGTTTGTTGCCAGTTCTTCTTGTTTATTTTTACACTATAAACTTAGGATGTTAGTAAGATGTGTTGGCCTAGTAGGCTTCAGCGTGCGACTCTCATCCCTGAGGTCGTAGATTCGATGCTCTGCTATGCACTGCTTTTTTTCTATGTGCGCATTTAACATTCGCTCGAACGGTGAAGGTAAACAGCGTGAGGAATCCAGCTTGCCTTAGGGGTCTAACGGCTGATCACCTACTTACCCTTTAGATTGACAAATGGTGACAGATACAGAAGTCTGTTGTTCAGACCTTTAAAGATTGTTGCACCGATTTATTTATTTTATTTATAAACAAAGATTTTGTTTTATTGAGCGCCCTTGCTAACATTTTCTATATCTAACAAAAATAATACTTTATACGTAATAGAATGCCTTGAAAGACAACGGTCTCTCGCCCTTGTCATGCACAAAGCACATCAATAAGGCATTGAACAATAGTAGATACAATTGTTTGTAAATTTTATAACGTGAATCTAAAATATTAATAAGCAAAAACAATTCTTGAATTGAATTAAATAGATTTATAATAATATTTGTAGCGATTAATTATATCACCTTGGAACTTAAAGATACTTAATAAAAAAATATATTTTATTTAATTTAATATAATATCACTAAGTATTTACAATATTATTAACATAGTAATAATAAAAATCAAAAATTAAATTGAAAATAAAAAAGTTTGGTCCCTGTGGCAGTGTACCTTTAACGCTGGCAGCATTTCCTCGCTGTATTCGTTGAGCGATGAAAGCACCAGCTCTGGGGTCACCGGTACTATCTGCCAGGCGCTAATTTAAATCTTATATCATCTGGCACTTGAACGCCACGGCACGTCGTAGGAAAGACTCTTATAATTGAGCCGTTTTTTATTTTCAGCAATATTTGACTGTTAAATCTCTATACTTTACTGGGATATACCACTTTACCCGTTAATTTGGTCATTGCATAATGTTATGTAAAGTTCGACCAGTATAGTAAATAAAAAACCTGCTCTGCAGGCACATTGGTACATGACCATACTTTGTGTTAAAAAATAAAAATAGTCTGTAGTCGAGTAAAAAGATTACGATAAATTTATGTTATAATGTATTTAATACTAGTACATGTCTCTCATCTCAGCTTCTATTTTCCAATTCCCCACTATCTCTTTTATTTAATCTTCCCAGATTTATAGTGGGCGTCCTCTCTTTTTTCATCGCACTGGGCTATTCCAAACCATCTTTTAAACCCATCTGTCATCACAAACGCGGGCAATGTGACCGGCCTATTTCCACTTTATCTTTCTTGAGTGTGTTACGATGTCTGTTTTTGTATTACACTTTTTTTACATTTTTCTTAATTTTCTTCTTGAAATAGACAAATAGAAGAAGAATAGAACGCTCCATAGCCCTTGGGCATACTCCAATTTTCTTTAATAGCGCATTATTAATTAAGTGTTACAATAAGAATACTAAATTTAGAGGCTTCATTCATTAAAATTGGCATGACATTGGACACATTATTCAATATTCATTGAACTTTCTCAGACTTTCCGACAAATACTTGTTATATTGTTAATAACTTTTCTTAACTGGCTTTTAATCGTTTTCGGCACTCTAACGCACTTATAAATAACTAGCTGTTCCCTGAAAAAACAACAAAAAATTATAAAACCAATCCTATATATCATGCTAAAACTTCAGCTCGATCGGTGCAGAACTTTTTGAGTTTTTGAAGCGTACACAAATCAATATATATATGCAAGAAATAGACCACGCACAATCGAATTGACATCACACTTTGACAGATACAATGACATCTGAAACCTTATTGTCATTTGAAGAAATTAGAAAATTTCTGCAATATGGCAAGGTATTTTATTAGTCAGGCTTTTTTCATTAAATGGACTATCCAACAAAAAAGGAGTGTTTCATAGTTCCTGAGATTACCGTCTTTAGACAAAGTTCAGTTTTTTAATCTAAGTATAGATATAGCGCAAATATTGTCTTATTTCAGGTAAGGTGAATTCTTTATTCGGGCTCGCAGAAGCCATGATGCCTCTGGTGTATGGTCCACTGTACTCCCGAGTCTATATGGCAACGCTGACCGTTCTTCCGGGGGCTGTGTTTCTCCTTGGAGCTGCTATGACTGTGCCCGCTGTCGCTATATTTGGGTAATATACTATTTTGTCTTTAACAAAAATACTATTTTGTCTTTTTCTATCAAATTGTGTTTACACTAAGATGAAAAGAGACAAATGAGTTCTTTAGTTTTAACATTGCAATCGAACTAATTTAATTTGCTGTAAATGGACAAACAATTTCTTACACAATATTTATCATTTTAAACGGAATTAAGATATAGACTCATTTTCATCAAGTGGAATTTCTTTATCGTGTATGATAGTTTTGAAAGTGACATACAAATTATTGTTTGACATATTCGCTTAATAAATTTGTCTTTTATTTGTCAATGTTAATTTGGGTGGTATTTGTTTTGTGTAATGGGGTCATCAGGACATTGACACTCGCCAGTTTATGATAATGATAATGATAACAATATTTTCGTTGTTCTATTCCAATACGACACTAGTGACGTGGCTTTTGAACCCTCCCAGTGAAAGACTTTTATGTGCTGTAGGTGAACATCGCTAGAAAACCGGCATACCTTAGACTTCAAAAATCGTCGGCGTGTGCCAGGCACAGAAGGCTGATCACATTTCTGAAGGACCACGAAACAGATACAGAAATTCTCTTCTTAAAAAATTGAATTTGGAATATACGAGTACATATATAACAATGATAATAATATTTATGTTAAACCAGTATAAATTGCTTATGAGCATGCTCGCGTATATAAAAAGCCTCGGGAGGGTATGTGTCGCTTCTTTAGGACCTCGGACCGTGTCTCTCTTGGTAGTGGGGTATTAATTTATATAGACATAGACATAACATTTATTACAAACGAAAACACACACACATAAACACACAAAATAACAATACTTAAAGAAAAAATAAAATAAAATAAGACATCAAAAACAATAAAAATTAAAATAAAAAAAAAAGATACAAACAATATGTTTTACTTATAAAAACACACATACACACCAATTATATAGGGCTCGCAAACTTCACCAAATTTTCAGCCGAGAAAGTGCACCTAATGTGTCAACCATTCGAAGAGTGGTCAAAAAATTTGAAGAAACTGGGTCAATTAGGTATGTATGGATAATAAGAATCCTTTGCGTCAACGTACCGGTCGGTCCCTTGAAAACATTGCTGCTGTAAACGAGTGTCGCCGAATACTCGAAAACATCAATTCGACTAAGCAAATTTTGACTAAAGACCTTCATGCGTACAAGATTCAGTTAACTCAGGAGCTCAAACCAGCAGACCAAGGAAGACAGCAATTTGCGTAATGAGTAATGGAGCAAAGGGAAGTCGATGCCAATTTTTCGAAAAAAGTCATTTTCTCCGATGAACAGAACACATTATCTCACGAAATCCTGATGTCAACTGGCCACCAAGATCGTGCAATTTAACGCCGTACGATTTTTTCTTTGGGGTTTTGTGAAATCTTGAGTTTATGCGAATAAACCCGACCATACCTGAGCTCAAATCGAAAATCCAACGCGTGAGATACAGCCACATCTTTGTGAAAAAGTCATGGGAAATTTCATGAAGAGTGTAATGGCCTATCATCGGAGGCGTGGAGGTCATTTGCCGGATATTGTATTCCATACTTAATCGGAACATGTCTTCTTTACAATACAATAAAAATATCAGAACTCTATCATAAAATACTTGTCTTTATTTAAAAATGAAAAAGTGCACTCTTACTGAGACACCCCTTATTACAACATAAAAATTTCAAACTAGCAAGGAAAAAATTAAACACAAGCAAACAGTAAAAAAAAATAGAAAGTTAAACCTCATTAGGAGCGTGATATACAAAATAGAATATATCAATATTTTTATTGGTTTTAGTAATTAAGTTGTAAAAGCGAGAAGCCGTTGAAATATTAAAAGTAGATGATCATTAACACTGATTTTCATTGGTATTTTTTTTAACAAATAACGTATCAATTAATTTTATAACAAGTGGGGAAGGTGGGGAGGCCCTTCGTACGGTTTTCACATTTATTTTTTATTTTTTATTTTTCCATGAATCAATCACCTGATAGCTTAAATTTATAGTCTAACTATCTGAGATTCAAATAAAAAAATGACAAATGATTTCATCCGATGTTTCAACCATAATTATGATTTAAACTAAATCACGGGGCACCTTCGTACAGTGTTTGGGGTACTTTTTGGTGTGGGGTAGTTCAAAATTCATTTATTAGCAATGAAATTAAACACAAAAAATAAAGATTTAATTTCTATTAAACAAAAATAATACTTTTCTTATGTAAAACAAAATTTAATTAGTTAGGTATCTTAAATTTAGAATTAATTTTTTACTCTTTGGTGTGGATTACAACTTCTTATTTTCGGGGGGGGGGGAAAAAAATTTGGGGTTTTCCTGGCCGTCATCGTCATGTTTGCTTGTTTTATTACTTCTTACAGAATGCGAATAGGGTCGAAATGCCTCTGGTGTCAAAACTGACTTCGAAGGAACTACTATTTGATGGATTGGTAAATTATTCACAGCATCTGGTCCACAAGCATCAAAATCAACCTTAGTCAAGATGCCTTAACAGTAGTGTAATATGTAGAAAGTCGAAAACTTAATTTGAATGAAAAAGACAGTTCGCGTCGACAAATTATTATACAAATTTAGTTGTACAATTCGTACAATTGTGCCCCATCTAGTGCTGTCCGAATGTACCCCACTAACTGAATAACAACAAAATATAACTTATTTTAATATTAATAGGAAAACGTCATAAATTAAGTATTGGAGACGTATCTTAAGTATATTTTGCTAGTTACTGATAGAATACTCTACACGAAAACTTATTTTATCTACGGTAACAAGAGATAAAAAAAAACATAGATCAAAAAATTACTTACCGAGCGCGAAAACACGTCTATGCCTGTAACTTCACTCTCATCGGTGCGAATTTCACGAAACTTCGTTGATGTATAGTTGGTACCTCGACTCATACACACATACAAAAGCAAGACTGTACTTATTTCTTCAAGTTTTATTTTGACTGTATGAATGTGCCGGTAGAAGGGTAACGTCTTCCCCTATACAGTTTACATTGATGCTAGAATGTCTTTATTATTATTATTAAAGGTTTATATTGATAATTTTTATAACTGTTATTTTAATGATTCTAGAAAATAATCAGAAATTCAATGCCACGTATTTCCTTTCACTAATGGTTGTATTCACGAAACCAGTTGCAAATAGTGTTTATTGGAGAAAGCTTGACTTACCGTTTAGATGTCACAATACATACTAATATAGATAATATAGACTCGCTGCCGTGTGAAACCAAGATCTTGTTAAAAATAACTGGCAATGCGCTGCAACGAAGAATAACATGATTATGAGTAAAAACTCCATAAAAAATTAAATAAAAAATACAAATAGCCTTTATGAAGGACTAAATTTACATTATACTTTACCTTAAGTCTCTGTCATTATTTTTAACTACTAAGTAATCAACCTCCGACGGAGTGAAGGTCTCCTCCAATTTCTTCCCCTTGTCTCTTCCTCGCGACAATGTTCCAATTCTGTCCCGCTATCCCTTTTATTCCATCTTCCCAAGTATCTGGTGGGCGTCTTCTCTTTTTTCTTCCCACTGGGCTATACCAAGTAAATATGACTTGTTGTGTACATTTGAGATGTAATTCACGCTCAAGATTTGACTTTACTAACAAACCAAATATCTACCTAATAGTCGAAATCTAATATAAACAAGAGTACACTTGCGAATATGGCATATATGTATGATTTGTTTAGTGAACAACACATGTAATATTGAATAACGCAGATATATGAACTACTAGCTTTGGCTATGTTTATAGTTAATATACGCTTTTAAGAATTTAAGAAAAATTACATACAGATGTTGGTTATTCCTTATTCGCAATTGATCAGTCTTTACACATGTTCATATTTGGGTTTGAGATACGTCGATTAATGAATTGATTTGCACACAGACTTATATTTGCGCAACACCACGCGGCTTCTACTAATCTAATATATAAAATTCTCGTGTCACAGTTTTCGTTGCCATACTCCTCCAAAACGGCTCCACCGATTCTCATGAAATTTTGTGTGCATATTGGGTATGTCTGAGAATCGGACAACATCTATTTTTCATCCCCCTAAATGTTAAGGGTAGTCCACCCCTAAATATTTTTTTTTATTTTTAGATATTTTTTTCTGTTTTTATTTTTTATGATACAGCATTAAAAAATACATACAAACCCCTAACTTTCACCCCTCTACGATCAACCCCTATTTTTTTAATATAAATGATATATATGGCAAAACGACGTTTGCCCGGTCAGCTAGTTATATGTATATAAACATTCTTTTTTATGTTTTACAGATGGATGTACTTCGAACAACGCAAGGACGGCAAACAGGTTGAAGAGGTCGAAAATGTTAGCAAAGATGCTTAAGTACGAATATTAATGGCTCACTTTTTATCTTATAATTTGATTTAAAAAATAATTTTTCATTTATGTAAATGTTTTTAAAGTATTGTTTTCATTTCATCATGACGTTTTTATTGTAATAGTATATTTTATTATCCCGTTTAAATGTGAAGGTATGAATAAAGATTCGGTATTTAAATTAACGTAATACGCTCAGGGTATCTCACAAAGTTTTTAGGAATTGTTTTTGTTAACATTTAAACACTAATAGGAAAATGAAGCGCACCAATACAACCTGACCCAACTCCGCATACGGACTCGCCTGTCTACCATATGCCGACAGCGAATAAATACTTCGGCCATACAATACGCAGAGGCGATGAGAACTTGGAGAAACTGATCGTGGTTGGTAACTCAGTAGGTAGATCACGTGGCCTTTCACTAAGCAGATGGACCGATCAAGTGAAAGACTCAAATCTATACAGTGTTATAAGAGGCGATGGACAGAAACCGATGGAAACAGATAGTCCGCTCCAGACGCTTTAGTGCTGACCAACACGCTCAGACTTGAGCTGCCGATTGAAGAAAGAGTAGAAAATTTATAAATTTAATCAGTTTTTTTGATTTTGATGAATTACAAAACCAATTTATATTTGTACGTAATGTTACGCTCTGACTTGTTTTGTCCTTTAAATTTGGCATTTAGAAGTCGAGGTTAAGTTAAGGTAAATTTAACTTTTAAGACGCTCAAGTGCGAAATCGTTTTTGTTATTAAAATCATTGAAGTTCCGAATTTAAATTGATTTAGCACTCGAGTACAATTGTATTTAAAATAAAGATATGAAATATACATTTTCATTACCTTAATAATAATAATAACCCTTTATTCGCTGCCTTACCGTAGTAGTAAACAGTAGTATCCTTTAATCTAATTTACATAGAAAATAATAATTTATTTGCAACCACTTTGGTCAGGTTGTCTGTCCACATAGGCCTCCCCCAATTGTTTCCACGTCTCTCTATCCTTGGCAGACCTTCTCCATCATTTTGGTAGATCGTCCTCCCATCTTTTAATTTGACATTCTCGTTTTCTTCCTCGGATACCATTTTCATTACCTTAAAAACAACCAAATATTTACTGTAGAATTTAAAATTAGAATTGATAAAATGATTTCGTCTCACTTTCTAAAATCCAAATTGAATTACCGGTTTCGAGTTACGATAGCTCACACACACAACTATACAAAACAAAGGATTGAACCTTCAAAAGTTTGAAGACAAATTCACTTATTCAATAAGAATCATGATGTTCTATGAATGTGACTAGACCATTTCTACGGGGCAGCTGAAACGAGGCGGTGGGTCACTTTCAGGTAAGTGCTAAGAAATGGGCACCTGTAACAACAGGAGATTTTATTTATTTGTTAGTAATCTTACAGTTAATAAATAAAACAAAACACTTAGACGATATAGAAAGCCAAAACAGATTACTTAGATAAACAATGTTTATGAAACAGAAAACAAGTAAGTACAATAATAGACAAAAATTTATAAAACAAATAATAAAAAAAGCTGAAATTTAACATTAAATTGTACTTAATATTACAAAGACAAAAAGTGCGTGCGTACAAAGTAAAGGTTAGATGTCAGAAGTGAAACTTCTTTGTAAATTAATTATTACTAAGGTAAAAGCCCCAATAGATGATCATGTACCAGTATATGATCATTATTTATATGTCTATATTCACACTCTTTACACACTGTATATTTGCCAATGATAATATGTTCGCTGTTCATGTATTTGTAAGATTAGTTTTTAAGTTTTTAGTTTGTTATTAATTTTTTTTTGTATTGCTTTAGATTAAGGATTCTGCACTTCTCGCACGCATCATGTGTCTTTTTTTTTTAGTTTTTCTCTTAACTAGGGTTGCCTGGAAGAGATCGCTTATTAGCGATAAGGCCGCCCGTTGCATCCCTTATAATTTTTATGTATTGTGTTTCTTATATTATTAGCAACGAAGTGTAAATAAATAAATAAAAAAATAATATAAATAAATAAAAAATCTGCGTTTACTGCACAGACGCCATCTAAAGTTCTAATATATAACTACTAAATGAATACATCAACCAATAGCGTGTATTTCGCTCTTTCTCACTCTCTCCCTCAATCGCTCTCTCCCTTTTCTTCGACAAAAACGCTGCACATCTTCGTGACACTTATATTATGATTACTGCGTTTCATCCGTAAAAATTTTACCCTCATGCGCCTAAAGAAGTTTTACTTCAAAAACTAGTGATAAAAAAAAAATGTAAGTCTTCCCGCCTCTTCAAATATTTCCTCACATCCTTTTTGGTGAGGTGGAAAATATCAATATCAATATCCTAATAATTAATTAATTGCAAGTGCGTTTCCGGTATATAAGAAGAAGAGTGATACTCTTTCTCTTGTAGGTCCCTAAGTCATTACAGTTCTAAAATACCTGGTTCCATAAACTGGTGTATTAAAGCGCGCTGTAGGGGGTAGTTTAGGGTTGGGTGGAAGTATTCTATGTTTTTAGGCAGTTTTTGCCGCACATCACTATGTGGAACCAGCTGCGTCCTGAAGTATCTCCGATCCAATTCCACTTCGGGTCCTTCAAGCCCCCTGTCGGTTGACGCCTTGTTCTATAAAAAAAATCTCAGTTTTCGATCATATTGTCTATAAGTTTAAAATACAATGTGATCTCAGTCAGTAAGTAGAGTTAGGCTATGCGTTAATAATAATTGATGTATTTTCTAACATAAGGATTACCTCAGTGAGTATAGGAATATGGAGTTCGATAGTTATATGGTTGTATCTGTTGAGAACATGACTTACTTATTAAAGATCTAAAACTCGTTTAAAAACGCAAATGCGTGCTGCAAATATCGTCAAAGAGGATGTTTGTTAAATGAATATCGTTCATAACAATATAATAATCAATAAATTTATTTAAAAAAGTTAAAATATGTAATAGACTATACTTATAACTAGATCAGCACACTACATCAAACAACTATTAGAAAGGGAGACAAGAACAAACTGTATGAGCTAATATGTAGGTATATAATGTAATATCTTTATACATACGTATATATAATTCTGCTGAACGTGTGTAAGTCACCGAACTCCTCTTAAACTGCTGGACCGAAATGATTGAATTTTTTATATAGATACTTTTTTTTGGTGACGCCCTGGATGGTTTAGATTCACAAATCAGCCCAGCAGATGGCGCTTCAGACGGTACTATCATACTTTGTTTAATATACTAATCGATTGAAGTGTCATGCAGGATATACATCGTCTGTCGGGCCCGCTAGTAAAATATATTATAACGATCAATGCAAGACAATTTATTATAGAGATATTTTATTTTGTTTTTTTTGTATAAGTAGGTAATTGAATGTGTATTCCGTTGTTGGCTTTTGTGTATAAGGTAATTGTTTAGATATTGTATAATAAGTAGCTGTATGTAATAACTAAAAATAAAATTACGTTTAAATCTTCGAACGTATCAAAATAAAACTAAACTCACATATTTTAATGATCTTATGAAGATGCTTGAGTAAGAAGATATACAGGGTGGCCAAAAAGTCGTGGATCAAACGCAAATAGGGGATAGTTGAGGTCATCAGCGGCAAAAAATTGTTCTACGGGAGGTCTCTAAGGTCAACCCCTGCAGAGTTATGATTTATTTTGCGGTTTATAAGAAAATTGACTTTTTTAAAAATTCGATAAAATCTACATCCTGTATATTTTCATATATTATAATTGGTGCTGATGAGTTCTTGCTTAACACATACTATTTATAGTTGTTTATTGAGTTGAGATAATATTAAGATACATAAAATTTTTTCAAATCAAAACTTTTTGTTTACTTGACCCTTAAAAATTACTCTACCGAAAGTGACCCTGTATTACAAGTTTTGGCGCATTTAATAGGGATTCTGAAAAGGTATTACACATGGCCGTGTCTAATATCTTTCTATTAAAACCAAAATAAATCATACTCTGAGTGAGGTTTGAGCCTCCCGTGAGAACAATTTTTGACCTCATCTATCCCCTATTTGCGTTTGATCCACGACTTTTTGGCCACCCTGTATATATACTGATTTCCAGTGTCGTGTAAATTACAAGGTATATAAAAGTATTCTAAATTTAAAAACCCGTCTTATGAACTTTGTGGTTGTACAGGAATGCATTTAAAGGTTGGTTGCCGTCGAGTTCATTAACTTTTGCCAGCCGATACAGGCTTTTATCTAAGCAGGACCAAGGTTCGAAACCGATGGAAAAACGGTACACATGATAGTTTACATGATAACTGATTAGATGTATTTGTTTTAATTATTTTCATAATCACGATATATAAACGATGATAATTAATTTATTGACAAAACAATTATTGATTCATGTTTCACCATCATGCGTCGAGGTAGAGTATGAAATTCCACCCATATCGCCGACGGCCATTGTTCCACAACTGGGCGTATTTTAAAGCATTTTTCAAATGCGCACCACCACTATGTGGAACCAGCCGAGGTTTTTCCAAACCCATACGACTTAGAATCCGTTTAGAAAGGAGGGTACCCATTTCTAAAAGGCCGGCAACGCAATCGCGTGCCCTCAGGCTCTGGGAGTGTCCCCGGCGGCGGCACAATATCAAATGAGCCCGTTTGAGGTATGTTGTATAAAATAATTGTACTGAATGACTATATTAATATGTATGTAATCTTGTATATAGTATATCTCCTAAAGTAAATGTATTTGCGAAAAATACATCAAATAAAACTTTTGACAACCTTAATCAGCCAAGGAAACCACAAAAATGTATGTACAATATTTTATGTCTCGGTTAAGTGATTACAAAACGCACTACATAATATTTGCAACTGTTTCGTAACAACTAAGGTTCGGAAATTATTGTCGTAAATGTGGAAACACTTATAATTTATCTTAAACATACACAACACAGCATGACTAGCAAATCCAAGTGGAATTATACCAGGCAATCAAAGTACCTATTAAGTATTTTAAGTAAACGTTTTATTAAAATTGTTTTTAAGGCACTTCAACAAGTTCACCTGATTAAAAACTTTCCAAATTCAACAACGATGTGATCAGTTTATTTACGACGGTCGTTCATGCCGATGGTCTAAGGTGCGGAGTGACTTCGCTGGACAATAGTCCGCGCGCGCTTCGTCTGCGCACACGCATTCAATTCAAATAAAACCCCGTTGTGCATTGACAATGTAATTGAATAATCACAAATCTCTCGAGCGTGATTCCGTCCCATATATCTCACTGTGATTTTATATTAATCAAAGGAATATTAGTCAAAATGACGGTCGAAAAATCTGAATCGAAAACCCAAAAAACTGAAGAGTTACCACTGAAGACCGAAATGAAAATCGACTTCAAAAATATGACGTTTTTAGAGAAATTTAAGTATGTTAAATCTAATATTACCGTGGAACCAGTGTTGGCGTTATTCGTGATGCCAAGTGTTTTAGCAATGCTAGCGACGCAAAACTTGAACTTAGATAAAGCTTGTAGAGTTAATTTGGAGTTTAGTGACGCGGTCTGCGAAGACCTCAGACTTAGAAAGCGCGCTAACCACACATTTGAGGAGGATGAAGTGCAGAAATTGATAGCATCCGTGCAAGGGTGGAAAAGTGTTATACACACAGCGGTCCCAACCTTGTTAATGCTTTTTATAGGAGCGTGGAGCGACAAAACAGGCAGGCGAAAAATATGTATGCTTATGCCGATCATTGGGGAATTCATGACGTGTGTTCTGAACATGATAAACACATACTTTTTCTATCAAGTCCCCGTGGAGTTGACTGTGTTTATGGAGGTCATATTCCCAGCGCTGACCGGTGGATGGTATACGATGTTTCTCGGTGCATTTAGCTACTTGGGTGATGTAACTTCGAAGGAAACAAGGACTTTTCGCATGGGAATACTTAGTTTGTGCATGACGGTTGGTTTTCCCGTGGGAATGGGTTTGAGCGGGATACTTCTAAGATACACCGGCTATTACGGAGTTTTCTCTATCTCGGCTGTATTGCAATTTATGAATTTTGTATACGTTTTCTTAGCTATTGACGATCATAAGTGGCTTCAGAATAAAGAAAAGGTTTGTATTATATTGATATTACTAGAAATTATTATTTGCTAGATTAATTTCCTCCATCTTTGATTTTCTTTTCTCTTGGGTCGTGGGTTTTAAGTGCACAAGCGCTAATTGAATACTAATTATAATAATTATATATTTAAGTTGGCGCCAGGTAGATAGTACCGGTGACCCCAGAGCAGGTGCTTTACTCGCTCAACGAATAAGTATCGCTGCCACAGGGACCAACATTTTTAATTTATTTATTCTTTATTTTAATTTTCTATTTATTTATTCTGAATTACTATTACTATGTTGATTAAGAATCTTGTACATTCTGTATAAATACAGATCATAATTTTTTGAATTTTGACGTTCATAAGTGTAGTTACCAATTTGAATAAACAAATTTGCGAGATGTCTATGTATAAAATGGTAAACTTATACAAAAACTATGATGTAATCTGAACATCTCAAAGATTTGACAAAAAACGGGGTTTATTTATAAACAGCTTCGTGTTTATAAAGCAAAGAAGCGTTTTTTGTTGCACAATTTCATCGGAATCACTCTATGGACAAATATGATATAATGAGATGTTTATTAAAATGTGTATTTAATTTTTGAGTGGAAATCCATTAGTATAAAAACTAATGGATTTATCAAGTTGATATTTCTTTGAATATAGTTATGATAAAAATTGCATTTGTTCTTTTTAGTTGTTTGATATATCAGCCGATTTTTTATAATATAAACTAGCTTATAAACCAAGACTCTCGCTATTATAATAATATGTATTTATTTTATTAAAGTAGTCACTTTTGTCTATTCCCATTTTTGCACGGCTGAACATTACTATTATAAACGAACAACAAATATAATATACAATAGAAACAACATACGAAATCTTTCCTCTAAAAATGAGTATCGGATAGATTAGATATAAAATTTCGTTTAAACAAAAAAACTAAATCTGTGTTTTTTTACGAAAGTAGTCAGCGTACAGATGTTTCCACCTTTTTAGAAAAATACTCAATTTCCAAGGTTTCAATTTATTGGTCATAAACTGATAAGCGGCCTATTGTGCAAGAATTGCTTACCTTATTATCAATAGTTTTGTTAAAGATTCCGGGGCAGACACTGTTTCGTTCATAATTTAATGCGAGATGAATAAATTGCACTCATCTGGACGGGTTTTTCAGTTTTCATAGGTTAAGGACATATCAAATGTTAAATTAGCAGATAGATAATATACTTCCGTGTTCGAATGCACGACCACAATATTGAGATACGATCGCGTAACCACATAACACTTCTCCATGAAGAACGTAAATTGCTTGCAAAATTCAAATGAAACCTTTCTGTTCTAGGACCTTCGAACAGGTTGCGGAGGATTTTTGCTGGAGTTTTTTGACTTCAACAGTGTCAAGGACACTTTGAAAATAGCCTTCAAGAAGGAACCGAATAAAAGAAGATTAAGAATCTGCCTCATTCTAATCGTCGTATGTCTAAGTTTTGGACCGTTATGGGGTAAGTTAATTGATTTCATAACCTAAAACCGGATTTTATAGGATTGTTTTTGGTAGAAGTCTTTGATTTATGCGAGTACCACCCATTGAAAACCCCTTAGCGGATATAAACGCGATTACATTACGTATTTAGACGTTTCGAAACAATCGTGAGACACCACTATTTTACCAACGTTTCAAGTATAAAGGATATTTTATATTGATTCTACGCTCAAAAAACTTGAACTTTCGAAAAATTAAACCGAATTTTAAATACACTAAAAAGTATTAAACAAAAATATTTCTATTGATCGTCTGTGTCATGAGTATGTATTGTTATTTCTTGGAAGTCTGGTATGTTTTTATCGATTCCATGATCAGCCTGATGCTAACATATGGTCTACAACTCTTATATTCATAGGTTGACCATTGTAGTATTTACATAGTCATTGAGTTTGACTTAATAAATAGCTTAATATGATCTTGAACTTAGCAGGAGGTAAAATTTTTTTAAAAGTGTTTTAAACTATTACCACACTATTAAGATGTATTGATAGCAAAGATAGTTTTATTATTACATACGTATATTATAGGGACTTACGTACTGTGTGTACTTACGTCTAATGGCTACTCAGTCATCAAAATGAAATATTTAATGAAAAAAATAAGAAATATTGTATTAGGTAATATTGTATACATCTGTCTTTTTAATGTCAATTAATTGTGATTTTAACTAGGAAATTTTAATTTTACATGACGTGGAGCCATAAGTGCAAAATACATGTGTATTCTTATGTTCAGCATAAGTAAAAATATTTTATTTTATTGTATTACATTGTCTTTTTTAATGTCAAAATTATTGTGATTTTAACTAGCGCGAAATTATTTAATTATTTACATTTTGAGGTCATGCTGGATTTTTGTTCTTCACTTTACCGCCCTTAGACATCTGTAACGCCGCTGCTTTTAAAAAGATAGTGCATCTTTTGTTTTGTTTAGTTGAGGAAAAAGTGGGGGGGGGGGGGGGGGGGGGGGGGGGGGGGGGGCCGGGGGGGGGGGGGGGGGGGGGGGGGGGGGGGGGGGGGGGGGGGGGGGGGGGGGGGGGGGGGGGGGGGGGGGGGGGGGGGGGGGGCGGGGGGGGGGGGGGGGGGGGGGGGGGGGGGGGGGGGGGGGGGGGGGGGGGGGGGGGGGGGGGGGGGGGGGGGGGGGGGGGGGGGGGGGGGGGGGCGGGGGGGGGGGGGGGGGGGGGGGGGGGGGGGGGGGGGGGGGGGGGGGGGGGGGGGGGGGGGGGGGGGGGGGGGGGGGGGGGGGGGGGGGGGGGGGGGGGGGGGGGGGGGGGGGGGGGGGGGGGGGGGGGGGGGGGGGGGGGGGGGGGGGGGGGGGGGGGGGGGGGGGGGGGGGGGGGGGGGGGTCCGACCTTTTCAGGATGGTACGTTCTTTTCTTGAAGGCCCCTAAGTCGTATCTGTTTGGTAATACTGGCAGTACTTTTAAACAATGATCACTTGTATTGACGGCTGTATGTTGCTACGTTTGTTTTGTGTACTAAAACTCTTTAAATGAAATTCTGGATTCTCAATATTTCATTTTAAGATCTACATCAATTCGTATGCAAATGTCCAATTTCTCTTGTTTTATTACCGAGTTATTCATAGTCAAAGTCTGAATATCATATGCAATAAATATGCAAATTCTTATTTGATTACTATTTATTGACCCTGGCATGGCAGTTTGATGATATCTACTCTTTTATCTGGATATTGCCTGTATGTTAATCGAAGTAAATTAAAAATGTTTTAACAGGTTTATTTATTTATCAGTAATAAGAAGACATCGTGCAACATTTCTTTAATGTTTTTACTGCCTTCATGAATTGCGTGGGTCACTTTCTTGGTACAACTTATCAAAATGATTAGTTTTTTGACATCCCCGGGTGCCGCACTGCACGATTTGGATCGTCAAATGAGTGGAGCTCCGTCCTCCATCTTCTCTAGACAGTTTAATATGACATTTAAGCGGCGGTTAAATAGGCATCTCCTGGACAGGCGTGCCCACTAGGCACTTCTTCTCCTTCCACTTAACATCAGGTGGGATTGTGGCCACACGTCTGTCCAGTTCTGTATAAAACTTAAAAGCCGTAAATTGATCCTTTTAGCTAATGGCTACTATGGGTGTGGTGGAAGGAAGTTGTTCCTCCAACTTAAAGGGATCCCAGACCAGGCCTTCGGTTCGACCAGTAAATAATACGGCCCAGTTGCTTTTTTTATCTCGATGTTGACTTAAAGGACTGGCTGGAGGCTTAGCGAGCATGTCTAGATGGCTGATGTGAGATGTTGTATACTCAGCGGAAACATTGTGATAGGATATGAGGTCATTGCACTGATTGTATTTTCAACCGACAATGGGACTTGATTATTTGGACATCGTGACATAATCGTGAAGTGGAACAAATTGCCTTCAAAGATAACAAATGTTTAAATTTCCAAAAAAGCACTTGCTACCCTTCTGGTTTTGTGACTGTATCGGACTTAACATCAGGTGAACCTTCTGCCCGATTTCCCCCTATTATATAAAATGTGTTGTTTTTAATACTTGAATAAATTATTAAGCTTCTTTATATTTACTTGAATATTGATATGTATTTACTACAAATATTGTTATGACACTAATAATTTAGCTGTGAGTTGAAAGTGGGTACTTATGTTAAACACTTTTGCACTGAAACGAAGTAGCGCTTTCGAAACACTAACATTAAATAAGGAATCCAATATAAATGCAAAACGTGGTTTGTAACTTGTTTTGAAATAGATAGATAGTTTAAAGATGCCCTACATTTTGGTAGCCCTATGTCTGCAGTGTTAGTCTAGTTATATAGGTTGTGCCTTCGAAGCCTGGTTCTTTAAAGATTACATACGGAAGTTTAATACGCGTTTTTAATCATACAAGGCAAAGTGGCTGGTGCCTGGCAGACGCATGTCTTGTTTGAAAAAACCTTAGACAATGGTTTGGTCAAAGTACCAAGTCATTGTTTAGAAGCCGGCTTAATTTTGGAAATTAAACTAGCGATGATGGTCGCCAACCTTCGCAAGGAGATGGCATAATACGTGCAATTAACTCAATGTTTTTCTTTAGATTGAGTTTCAGTGTTATAATTGGCATATAAGTATTGTATTGGCATATATAATATAATATAAGAGTACCGAGAGTTTTTTACGCCGGCTTTTTCTGTCGGCCTACACCCTCTGTCTTCTTTGCCGATGAGTAGGGATGTCTACCGTAACAATTTAATGACGTGGAATAAGTGATACCTGTAACTTATATTCCATAATAAACATATTTTTTTTATGAACAGAAGAGATTAACGAACAACAGGATATTTTAAATTTTCCCTTTTTCAAATTATCAACAGTTTTCTCTAAAATTTAAATATATGTTATCTTCGATAAACAGCAAGTAAGTTCCCTTTTGTTTATCAATTTCTTATATTTGCCAATATGAATAATTGGTGTTATCAACTCCATATTCTTTTAACCCAACATTTATTTTTTAGATATTTTTTTTCAATTTTTCTTTTTCCAAATTATATTTTTCTGTAACATTTGAATTTATGTTACCTGCTATATTCGCAATTTTTTCTTATTTTTTTTTTGTTGATAAAAGCATGCCAACGCTCGGGACATTGGTAAAATAACCACAATATATACATTTTAATGTGATAAGCACTTATAGGCAAACATGACATACACGAAGAGATAATACAAATATTGAAGAAAACAATTAAAATTACAAAAAATAAACGAAAATCATTTTCAAGTGTGATAAGTTATCATCGGATTATATGCACTATCAAAATGCCAAAATATGCATGCAAATATGCACTAAAAAAGGGCGAAATATGCATAAAATATGCACAATAAAAATGCAATTAGAATAAAAAATAAAACTAATAATTTATTACATAGAATTAATTAATAAACTTATTTATTATAATTCTTGTGACAGTAAACAATAATATATTTTTCCAAGTTTTCTTGAGCAAACTTGTGACGTTTGTCACTTAATATTAATTTATAGGCTGAAAATGACCTTTCTACGTCAACTGACGTTACCGGACAGAACTTAAAATTTGGCGCCATTTCTGCAGAGACCTCTTCAGGCAGACTTTGTCCGGTGCCGTTAATAAACGCGTCAATTTTCAAACCGGGGTTTTTATACAAAACTGCATTTAATTTGCCACGAACTTTTTGCGATAGTCAACTCGGAAGGGCATTACTCTGTTCAATAATTTTTTCTATTGTTTCCAAGGACTGGCATAGAGGAAAGTTTTTTTGTTTCTAATTTCTCAATCGCATCGGGTATATTACTGAAATGTGTTGAGATAATAGCAATATTTGCCAAACACGTATACCTAACTATTGAAATAGGCACTATCAATGAAAAAGTACCAAAATATGCAATAATGCTGTAAAAATAGAATTATATGCATTTGCATATGCAAACATGCAAATGCATATAATCCGATGTCTATGACACTGATAACAAATTCAACTATGGCTATCCAGACTCGTGGATATCTAGCTCGTTTATCAAAAGTATTATAATATTACTTAATATATTAATATTACTTTCGAAATATTATTTAGTTATAGTTGAATTATTTTATTATTATCCTTCGAATGTATGGAGTATTTCTGTCTCACTTCTACACAATCAGATATAACGGAAATCACTCTACGCCTACGTTAGACTCGATCTAAAGGACGACGTTCGCAATTTTTCAATTACTATTTCTAGTGGATACTTACGCTTTAAATGGATCAATGTACTCAGGAAATAAATGTGTATTTGGAATGAGCATGCACAGGACCCATGCCACGATTATACCATTGCTTGTAACATTAGGATCTAGATTTTTTAATGGGTTTTCGCTGTTGCCCTTAAGGGCCTGTATGCTCAGCTGGGGCTGTTTTTGTGTAGCTCTGCTGGAAATAGATTTTTCCCACGTCTGGCACAAAGGCATCTCCTGCGGGACTTGGACCTCTGCTTGGGCAGAAGGGAGTAAGGGTTCTCGCCCTCTTTGGTTAGAGTGACATTAGGATCTAGATTTTTTAATGGGTTCTCGCTGTTGCCCTGCTGTTGCTGTTGGCAAGCGCAGCTGCTGGAAATAGATTTTTCCCACGACTAGCACAAAGGTGTCTCCTGCGAGACTTGGACCTGTTCTTGTGCAGAAGGAAGTAAAGGTCCTCTTTGGTTAGAGTGTTTTTACTCTAGTCTGAAGAGAAGGCATGAGTAGTTGTCGATCCCAACGTTTTAAATGCAACTTTGATATCATTCTCCCAACATCCGTAGCGATGGATGATTTTGTGATGACCTTGGGATTCCGTCGACTCAACAATAAAGACAGGATCGAAATTGGGAGTTCACATAGTCAAATACAAGCAAAAAGCTAAAAAAATACCAAGACTAATCAACAATTGCTAATACACAACAGCGCCCAAAAATAATATCAAAGACCTATCACTAACACCGAAGCCTGCAGCTAACTTACAAGTTTTTTGCGACGTATCTGCCATAATAGCCTTCAATTCTTTTCTAGAAATTTCTAGAACGAAAACGTTGAAACCAAAAACGCAATGTGTTTTCTTTTGCGACACCGCCGCCATACACATCGTAAATCCTTCGAGCCGAGATATTATCAAACTTAAGCATGTAAAAATTTTAATATAAGTATTGATTAAAAAAAAGTATAGAGGTGTTCTCGTAAAGTTACAATTAGCGGCCGTTAGACAAATCTTTTTATATCATTTCTCTCAGTACTGCCCGTATATCACCCGCGTTAAACTGAAATCGGAACAAAAACGCGTGGTATATTAAAAAATCTCTTAAGACATTTATGAAGTACTGAATTGTTTATTAAAATGTAAACATAACAATCAAATATACAGTATTTACAATTTTCTTAACCTACATAGTAACAATAAAAAGAAAATTAAAACAAATTTAAAAAGTTTGGTCCCAGTGTACCTTTAACGCTGGCAGCATTTCCTCGCTGTATTGCGATACTTATTCGTTGAGCAAGGAAATCACCAGCTCTGGGATCACCGAAATTGAAATCAAATTATATCATGAGTGATTTTATTTATAATATTTTATCTTTAATATGAATATATCTTTATTTAAGGAATAATATCTTACAAAACCACGTTAACAAAAATATTTAAATGATAATTTTATTCACGTAAAGAAGGTAAAATCTCAAATCAACGAAATCAATTTTAGGATTTGCAATGGTAATAACTCCTAGATAATTTGCAGTTTTAGTACTTGTAAAATTACATAATTGCAATAGCCCTTGGCACACATGTCAAGTCGTATTGGGAAATAACTTGTACTTTCAAAACATTACTTTGAAATACTATGTTATAACAAAACTGTTAATTAATAATATTTTATATAAATGTTTAAATTTAAAATTCGGTGTACGAATAAGTTTATTACTTGTTTATTCTAAAAATAAAACAATAGCTAATATATGAATTGAAGGCTTCGAAATAGCATACGCACGGTATATTTGAATAAGGAACATCAATACTTCCATATCTATTATCTTTATTTGATTCACCACAGATTGAATCTACTAGAGATATTTGAATATAGAACACGAGGTCGGAAGTAAAGATTTTTTAAAAGTAAAACCACAGACTAAAGTAATGTATCAAAACGAAGACTTCGAAGTAGCCTACGAAAGGTATATTTGAATATAGAACACGAAACATGAACACTTCCATATCTAATATATCTTAATAGATTATCTTTATTTGCTCGACCACAGACTAAATCTACTAGAGATAATTGAATATAGAAAACGAGGACGGAAATAAAGTTTTCATAAGTAAAACCACAGACTAATCTGAGTATATCAAAGGAAGGCTTCGTTTTATGATACTAAAGGATAGATATTGTTTACATAACGAAACTTGAGAATATTACGTTGCTCTAGTCTAAGCTAACCTTATCAACACGGTAGTTGATATGCGATATTACATGTAGCACTTCTTCGTGTACGAAAACTATAAATTAACAATGAAAGTACATTTCTGTTCATCTGGGCTCATCGAACCTAGATCTTCTGGTTATATATTATGTGTGTCACAGAGACAGTCTGATTTTAAAGATTTCCGTTTTAAAGCAAAAATCTTCGCGGAAGTTAAGTTAAATATGTAATATTATTTCGTAGAAGTTATTATTCCGTAATTGTGTATTTAAGTATCTTCGTAATGTTTTTCGGCTTCTGCAATAGTTCGTGCCAGCGATTTCGTCAGCGTACCTCTGTCACTATACTAAAATTCGTCAAAACGCAACAGCGTTATTATATTTACTAGTAGTATATAATAGATTTGCGTTAATTATATTTACATATTATTTAATACGTATAAAGTATTGTTATCACTAATAGAGACTCATATTAGGCCCTTATAAACGTACTTTATTAACCTTACATTATGATAGGTGATACGAATCACCTTGATGTCCGTTTTTCCACAACTGAGCGTTATTTAAGGCAGTTATTGCCGCGCACCTCCACTATGTGGAATCAGCTGCCTACTGAAGTATTTCCAAACCTATTGGACTTAAGATCCTTCAAGAAAAGAGCGTATCAATTCTTAAAAGCTAAAAAACTTACGAAACTAGCTGTTGTGGTCTGCTAATCTGCTCCTCAGCATAATGCTGAGTCAGGGCCAGTTACAACTACAACACAAACGCATGACACACTTAAAACGTACCTTGCTCTTTAAAGGATTTTTTATTATTATTATTTTGTCTGTTTCTGTGTGTGTGTTTAGTTAGTAATAAATCATATCTCTCTCGCGAGCCCTCTGGCATTGAGAGTGTCCATGGGCGGCGGTATTACTTAACATTAGGTGAGCCTCCTGACCATTGCCCCCTAATTAGAAAAAAAGCTGGAGGGAAGGGGAAAGCGATAGGTACGGACGGTAATTGTGAAACTGTGACGGCTTTGGAACTTTTTGCTCCTCAGCATAATGCTGAGCCAGGGCCAATTACAACCACAGTAGACACATTGCACACTGTAGGCGAACCGAATGGCAAAAGGGAATTTTTGATTTTGATATTTAATTTTTATTGTTTTTGATGTCTTTTTTTTTAAGATTGTTATTTGTGTTTTTTTAATGTCTATGTCTAATTGCCGTGTATTAGACGTTATTGATTAAACATTGTATTCTTGCGAATTTATGTCAAATCTTAGCACTTGTAACTTTGAGCGGGCTTTAGGAAACTCAAATAAAGTGTACCTACCTACCGTTTATATGGTAATAGAAAAACAATTAATTTACGTGGTGAAAATTACTACATGAGGGTAGGGTAGGCCAATATCCTCCAAGCCTTTATTCATTTAAGTAAATTTTAAGTTTAGTTTTATTTCAGATATTATATCGTTGTAGACTACTTATTTGTTGTTCTTTTTATAAATAGCCTTTACTCATTTGTTTTATTACACATAATCAACCCAAATTGACAATAGACAAGTAATAATAACATTTCATTTCAAATGTTTACCTACGAAGGCGCACAGCTGTATAATAAACTACCCACAGATATAAAAAATATTACTTCTATCAATTCATTCAAATCGAAGCTAAGTGAATATGTTAAACAAAATTACTTTTAAATTAGTTTCTTATAATTACTTTTAATTCATATTTCTTTGGTTACTTTTATTTTTAAGTTTATTGCATGTACGGCTATATTTTATTGTGATCATTTTAAGAACAACTACAATGTTATTTTAATCTAGAGTATTATTCTCATGTAAGTGAAATTTTTTGTCTTTTTGAGAAAATAAAGTCTTTAAACCTATTTCAGAACATTTCCTTTAGCAAGATAGCTTCCAATATAATAAAATACCACACCTCTGAATATCAACTAACCTGTTTAAATTTTTTTTTCAGGCGAGATGAGTATCATGTATATATTCGCGAGGTACCGCTTCAATTGGGATGAAGTAAAGTATAGCATCTACTCTACATACAGTCTTGTCACACATTCTATTGGTAAGTTGTGATTTCATTTGTTCTCAGCTCAGGTTCAGGAAATGCGAGTGGCTAGGCATGTGACGGCCGTGCGTTTATCCCTAGCTGTACACAAATTATATATTAATACTAGTATATACAGGTAAAGTAGAGCTCTTGTTGAGCAGTGATGAGCAGTTGTGGCTTCAACGTGCGACTCTCATCCCTCAGGTCGTAGGTTCGATCCCCGGTTGTGCACTAACAATGTTCGCTCGAACGGTGAAGGAAAACATCGTGAAGAAACTGGCTTAGACGCAAACAGTCGACAGGCTTAGGCGGCTGATCACCTACTTGCCTATTAGATTGACAAATGATCATGAAACTGATACAGAAATCTGAGGCCCAGACCTAAAAAGGTTGTAGCAGCACTGAGTTTTAGACCCTAAAATTGACGACGCCTCTTGTCTAAATTATGAATTAAAGGTACATTAATCTGGCCTAAAGGTAATAAAAGGTCCGTAAATTACCTACAAAAGACGAGTATTTATCATTATTACGACCGCATACAAAGTATGTTTACATAATATTCAATGGACACAATAATTTATAAAACAATACTTCATAATATTTTACAATGAAAAATGTAAATGTTTTCAATTCGCACGCCAATGTATCGATTTGATAGGAAAACATTGTGGGAATTTGTAAACATTGCTCAATTTAACCCATAAAGAACAAACAAAATATTTATCTATTCTGTTAGGTATCTTTTTTATGTTGGTTTGTGAGAATTCACGATGTGAGGCTAATTTTAAATATGTTATTGTTATTTTAGCAATGAGGATATTGCTGTTAAAAGCATGCTCATATAAGTAAATTCTTTGTTACAATAAGTTAAGTTAAAGTCAAGGATAATATAGCAATTGGTGTTATTTTTAAGAATTAAAAAAGAGGTTTTATATTTAAAAAAAATAAAAAAATTACCAGTTCTGGGCTGAAAACCCTCAAGTGTTAAATGATTAATTTTTGTTATTTAAAATTATGACATATGTACGGTTCCTGGGTCATAGGGGAGTTTTTAATAAAAGAGAATTTTATGTTTACTCTGCCCTGCCGGTTTTGGTATTATGTTTTCTTTCATGCTTCTCGCTCTACGCTATGCATATTTTTAAGTCAACGGGAATAAACATCTGTCGAAGTAGACATGGGGAGAAATTGGCTGTGCCAAAAACCAATCTGGAACTGTTTAGGAAAAACATCTTTTGTATGGCAATCAAGGTTTACAATAATTATATATACAAATTATTACAATAATGTACCAAAATAATTAATAGATCTTCCTACTTGAGTTTTTGAAAAATCGACTTTGTGTATTACTTTTGGAAAAAATGTATTATTCAATAAATGATTATTTGCGTAAGACACTGTAGTTGATATCTATTTAATAACGTATGATATGATATGTACGATACAAATAATATAAGAATTGACCAATTCATATTATGACTAATAATGTAAAATGTAAAATTCCTTTAAATACAGATTTGCGAGCCATTGTGTGTGGCAGAATATGCGAACTTACGATTGTACCACCTTACACATTTTTGTACCATATTCTTGCAATAAATTATTATTATTACGCCCTTGACTTGCGAACTGGTAGTATGTGTAAATTAAGATAAAATTTAACATATTTTCTGTTGACGTTCATAAGTGTACTTGGTTGTCTATATGTATAAAGTTATTTTGAGTTTGCTGGCATCAGATTTATACCCACAAATTTCACTTTCCAGGTACAATGTTCACAATAAGCGTGTTCAGTAAGAAGCTGAGAGCGGATGACTCTGTGCTGGGAATGATTTCAACAACCAGTAAGGTCGCCGGAGCATTGGTTATGGCCTTCGCGAGAAATGACTATGAAGTTTATGTGGGTCTGTATCAATTTATAGATAGATGAATTTGTGTAATAATTAGCTTCATGATCTGACCAAACATGTCAGGAAAAACTATTTCACTCAAGCGTGATACAGTGTGAGGTCATTATATGTTTGTACTTGTATACGTTTTTAAATCAACATTTTATGGCTCGTGTTTTATAAAAAATACTTCAATCGGTAGGTTTATAATATAATATCTAAATTGGTAGGTCTATTATAAGATACTTAAATTGGTAGGTTTATTATAAAATACTTAAATTGGTAGGTTTATTATAAAATATTTAAATTGGCAGAATTATAATAAAATACCTAAATTGGTAGGTTTATAATAAAATACTTAAATTGGTAGGTTTATAATAAAATACTTAAATTGGTAGGTTTATAATAAAATACTTAAATTGGTAGGTTTATTATAAAATACTTAAATTGGTAGGTTTATAATAAAATACATAAATTGGTAGGTTTATTATAAAATACTTAAATTGCCAGGTTTATAATAAAATACTTAAATTGGTAGGTTTATTATAAAATACTTAAATTGGTAGGTTTATTATAAAATATTTAAATTGGCAGAATTATAATAAAATACCTAAATTGGTAGGTTTACAATAAAATACTTAAATTGGTAGGTTTATAATAAAATACTTAAATTGGTAGGTTTATTATAAAATACTTAAATTGGTAGGTTTATAATAAAATACATAAATTGGTAGGTTTATTATAAAATACTTAAATTGCCAGGTTTATAATAAAATACTTAAATTGGTAGGTTTATAATAAAATACTTAAATTGGTAGGTTTACAATAAAATACTTAAATTGGTAGGTTTATAATAAAATACTTAAATTGGTAGGTTTATTATAAAATACTTAAATTGGTAGGTTTATAATAAAATACATAAATTGGTAGGTTTATTATAAAATACTTAAATTGCCAGGTTTATAATAAAATACCGCGTGGGAAACATTTAAAAATTACTTGCTACAATATTTTTTATACTTTGGGTTTTTTAGGATTTCTCTGGCTTCCGTATTTGTGAGATATTTTATCACCGATTTAGGAAAGATTTTAGAAAGCATTTATTAGTGTAAACAGAGTACGTCTTTCCAAGTGATGTTAAACATTCCAAGTAGTGCCTTACTATCAGATAAATGGATCACGTCATACACTATGTTATATATTACATAACATACGAATTATGCATTGAATACAAACAATAGGTTTTTGTGCGCCTATAGCATTTGCACAATGCCCACAAGGTGACGCATTTATCACAATAGTATAGCGTAATACAAACATTGGCCATTTTATTAAATTGCTCTTTATGATGAATATCCCCGTCGTTTTATTTTTTTAATAATGAATAATAGGAACTGCGAACTAGCACTACTAATTATTTTAGAGTTTTAAATAACAAATTTTACTAAATAAAACTTCTTTGATACAAATAAACACGAATTTATTAATTTATTTACTTATATTATTAAAAGTACTTGTAAGCAGAGACAATATTTTGTCTATGCTTGTTTTATTCTTATTGTTTACTAGCGGACGTGACAGGCTGACACATATTTTTTGTGTGTAAAACTACACTGTCTTAAACACAAAAAATATCAAACTGTAAATCAAAACCATTTCAAATCCACTTGAACACACACACACACAAAATCATGAAGATCGGTCCAGCTGTTTAGGAGTTTCATTACAAACACATCTATTATTTCAGTTTCATATAAATACCATTATTCGGAAGTGCTGCTTTTTTGCTTGTGACTGAATGTGCCCGCTGTTTATAATATATATTTTTTAATACGAAAAATTTGACGAATATTTAAATGATCCTTATCCTTGGGATTGATTTGCTCTAAACAATTTGTATGACTCAAAACTTACCGATTAAAAAGAGTGGTGGAAAGTTTCTTCTTCTTGCCCGCTCTACGCCCTTGACTTGCGAACTGGTAGTAAATGTAAATTTACAATTAATTTAGCTTCTTTTCTGACGTTCATAAGTGTACTTGTTTACCTATATAAATAAAGTTATTTTGAGTTTAAATAGATTTATAAAATATAAAACACAATTGGACGGAATTGATAATTTTCAATGTTATATTTATGTATTGTTAAATTGAATTGAAAATTAAATTTAAACAAATAAATTGTTTATTACACTATTAAATGAGTTACACGAAATTGAGATTACAGTACCAACAAAATTTTATATGAATAAAAATGGAAAATCACAAAGAAGAAATTATCACATTCCCTTCATATTTTTATTATGGCCACAAAAACTTTTTCCCAATTAAGATAAACTCGAATCTCCAGACATTCGCAAGTTAGCTAGTTCATAATTAAAATTATTTGTAAAGTTTTGACGATAAATTCTTATTATTTTGTTTGTTTCAGCACCTCTCGTCGAGATATTAAATGGCACAACCATGATAGCATTGAGATCCATCGCCTCGAAGTTGGTTTCTCATCAGGAATTAGGTAATTAACTAAGATTTACTATGTTTACCCGCAGTTACTTGGGATTATTGAATTATAACTGGAACATAATATGATTAGTAAAGTACTTATTTTAATTAGATATATATATTGAGGAAGGAGAGGAGAGATGGAGACAGGGTAAGCCTAGTGGCTTCAGCGTGCTACTCTCACTCCTGAGGTTGTTTCGATATGATGTGCACCAATGGACTTTCTTTCTATGTGCGCCTTTAACATTCGGCCGAACGGTGAAGGACATCATCGTGAAGAAACCAGCTTGCCTTAGACCCAAAAAGTCGACGGCGTGTGTCAGGCACATGAGGCTGTTCACCTACTTGCCTATTAGATTAACAAATGATCATGAAACAGATTCAGAAATCTGAGGCCAAGACCTAAAGAGGTTGTAGCGCCACTGATTTTTTTTTTTGATAAGGAAAGATAGCTGGAGATAGCAAAAATACCGAAAATAACCAGAAGGTTATATAGAAATATAAAGTATATAAATATATAATATAATATTATTATTATTATATCGTTACTACACATATAATAAATGACCTATAATATAGGTCGATACTTGGGTTCGATTTCCGACAAATAAATAATATTTTCATTCCTATGCCATACAGAAAAAGGCATGTTTCGTTACGAGATTTTAAATATTATGTAGCGACACCGTCTGCGCTAGCAAATCACTGCGTTGACGTCATACGCTACGCGCTAGCGTAATAATTTTCGGTCGCTAAGGATTTATCAGTTTCTCGAACGGGCGGAACGGGTTTCTCAGCCACTGGGACGGGCTGACCAGTCAGTGGTTAGACTGGTTGAGGATCATCCCTTAAGGTTGGAGTAAGCGCACAACATTCTTCATCCACAGGGTAAAAGCCAAGAGAATCTTTATGGTGTATCCGTTTCAAAAAAAGAGATACTTCATTCAAAAAAGTTTCAAAATTAATTTTTAAAGAACTTTATTTCTTATTACAAAAAATGTATTTTTTTACATGGGAAACTTAATATATACGAACGAGATACACGTCGCCATCGGCCATCCCAATTTTAGCCTAGGCTAAATCTGATCTTTAATGCCCTTTTGAATTGGTTCAATGCGCTAATATGACGAATTTAAGACGGTAATTGATTAAATAATTGCACACCCTCATACTTAATAGACTTCTTCAAATAATTTGTACGCGGCTTCGGCAAGATAAGCAAACTCGCTCGACGAGTATTGCGTGAAGTGGTGTATTTGATTTTTTTAATGATAAGCGACTATGGATTATATTTTAATTTTTTTATCAAGATACAGATGCTATAAGCATATAGTTGTTTAAATGTAAATTACAGACAAACTAAGACATGTCAGTTTCCACAATAAACATAACAAAAAAAAATAATTTATTTTTCAGGCAAAGTATTTTCGTTATTCGGCGTGGCAGAGACCATGATGCCACTGATCTTTTCACCACTGTACGCTAAAATCTATATTCTGACTCTACACGTTCTGCCTGGAGCCGTTTTCCTCGTCAGCGTATTGGCTACGTTACCAGCTTTGGGTATATTTATGTAAGTAAATAACTTAGTTGGTAGGGGTTTTCAAAGTTTTAGAATGAATAAGGGTAATTTTTTTACGGATGCAACGCAATAATAATAATATTAGCGTCACGAAGATGTGCAGCGTTTTTGTCGAAGAAAAGGGAGAGAGCGATTGAGACCAATTGAGAGAGAGTGAGAAAGGGCGAAATACAGGCTATTGGTTGATGTATTCGTTTAGTAGTTACATATTAAGGGGCATCCACACGCTGGCTGTTTGTCACAAACACCGCAAACAGCAAACGAAGTCCCAAACACCAACCATAATCACCCAACACAAACAGCCATCCACATGCTTGGCGAACGTTCATAACATTCCGAATCGGCAAACATGGCGGACGACGAGCTTGTAGCAGCTATTACTTTCGGGTTGACATATTTTTATTATAAATTAAAGCAAGAGAAAGAAAAAAGGAAAAAAAGAAGAAAGCAAAGACGATGGTGGATGATTAAAATACATAGAAATCGTACAAGGTACTGCTTTAGACCAAAAAAACAAAAAAAACGAAAAAGTGTAGCAAGTAAATACGTCCGCCTCCCGCAAGCTCGCGCGCATACTGATCGCTGCCAAACGTGTGGATACGTAGCAAACTGTTTGCCAAACATCCTTTGATCTGGCAAGATAAACCGACACCGATGCCGAACACTGCCCAACACAAACACAAACAGGCAAACAACGACAAACACCCATCCACACGTCCGTGTTTGCTGTATGCTGTTGGCTGTTTGGCATTGTTTGTCAAGCGTGTGGATGGGGCTTTAGAACTTTAGATGGCAATTCTGTCGCATAACGTTTTGTGCAGTAGACGCAGATTTTTATTTATTTTCACTATAATTAGCACGTATACAGTGTAAATATAGATATACAAATACATGGAGTGATCATATACTGGTACATGATCATCTATTGGGGCTTTTACCTTAGTAATAAATACTTCAGACACTTTGTACGCACGCACCTTTTTATTAAGACCTCTATTACCCTGCCATCGGGAACATCCGTGACCTGGAAGCTAAAAGGAAGTGTCATTTCCTAGAAAGGGATTTTATTTACTTAAGCTAGTTCGAGTGAGCTTGGCATCTTCCACCGAGGTCGGGCGATGACTACTACGGAAATGTCATTATATATTTGGTTGGTAGCAAACAACTTTTTTTTTATATAGAACATGGGGCAAACGGGCAGGAGGCTCACCTGACGTTAAGTTATACCGCCGCCCATGGACACTCTCAATGCCGGAGGGCTCGCGAGTGCGTTGCCGGCTTTTAAAGAATTGGTACGCTCTTTTCTTGAAGGACCCTAAGTCGAATTGGTTCGGAAATACTTCAGTGGGCAGCTGGTTCCACATAGTGGTGGTGCGCGGCTAAAACTGCCTTGAAAAACGCTCAGTTGTGGAACGGCGGACGTCGAGGTGATAAGGGTGGAATTTCGTATTCTGCCTTGACGTTCGATGATGAAAAGTAGGGTAACTGCAGGCTTATACAGTGTGATTGTAGATCATAAAGTCTGGGGCCAGTGAGCCGAAATTATAAAGTACCAAGTTTAGTATTCCAAACAATTCTTGGATAAGTATTATAAGCTGTTACGTTAGCTGTTGTTCCGGAAGTTTAGTTCGGTTGGACGATTGTGTAACCTCGAACAGATTACCTACCTAACTTTGCAACGAACACATCTAATTGGCCAATCTGATTGCGACTAAAAGTGTTGTAAAGTAATGAGACATCGGCGTAAATGCCCGTCGTCTTAATGTAATTGTGAGAGTGGCCGGATCGATTAATATCTAATCAACGTAATGTGGGTTACCTTACTTTACGGGTAAGTTCAGAGTGGGAATTGGTGCGAACGATTCCCGTAGGTACTAGATCATACTTAAAAGATATAGCTTACATATATATATATAATTCTACTACGTGTGTACGTGTATATGTCACTGATTGTCAATGATTTTTTTGTATGCGTTTGGGTGGAGCCCTGAATGGTTTTAGATTCACAAATCAGCCCGGCAGATGGCGCTGCAGTCGGTTCTTTCATACTTTGTTAAATATCCTAATCGCTTGAAATATCATGCAGAATAACGTCTGTCGGGTCATTGGGGATATTTTTGACATGATTTGAATCTTGTTATGAGAGAGCACATCTGTAAGGTGTATGTTATCGCGTGATCAGATTGTAATTACATACATCCGAAAGATAATAAGCGTGTGAAACCAAAATAAGACAATTATCTTGAAACAATGTTTTGTTGTTTTTCCTTATTGTACGAATAATGGTCTGAATTATAAAAATCCTAAGAAACTTGGCTTAAAACAATGACTTGTTTCAAGCGGATTTTTTCGTTTTATGCAGTTATTTGTTCGTAGGGAAAAGTTAGAAGTCTACATTATTGTTAGCTTTTTAAATTGCAGTAAATCTGATTACGTAATACTTGAATGGCCCCGTATCGATGATGACGCCAAATGTATCCAAAATATTCCATGTCTTGTATCAATACATTGATGAAATATTGGGATACCTGTGTCCTTAGTTCAAGCGATTTACCATAATGTGTCCAATAAGAATAGTCACTTGAAAATGACAAAAATGTGTCTAAGTAATTTTATTGTAGTATATATTATTCTTTGTGACTTTTCAGATGGTTTTACTATGAGCACAAAGAGGACGCGAAACAGAAGAGGTTAGAAGTTCCTAACGTACCATCAGGTCCACCGGAGAATGTGGAATCTCCCCAACCTACTTCCGCCTAAATGTAAACCTAGTATAAAAAAGATTTAAGATTGGCGCAATGTGTTATGTTAAAATATGAAAAATTAAGATATTTTATGTATATCACAATATTGTGTTAATAATGTTTTATTTGATTTTAATGTTAAATAAATTTATTTTTATTTACCGTTTGTTTTATAATACTAGCTGCCCCTGCGAAGTTCGTTTCGCCTTTATGTTTTGAGCTTTTTAGTTGCTACATACCAACATGGAAACTTTATACCCCCTAGGACGGTTTGCTTTTCCGGAATAAAAGTACTAAATAAAAGTATTTTATTTTAATTTAACAATTTTTCTCTACAAAACCTTCAGAGCTCAAGGAATATAGAATATATAATATACATATAATGGAATATACATTTTGCGATTCATTTCTATTTATTATATTTAGAACTTTGACAATTACTTATTTGACTACGTTACTGACTATTTGATACAATCGATTACTTCGTTCGTTTTTTTTATTTAGTTATCGAGCTTACAACATCACACACAGTCCTAAATTTACTAATTATTTTACAAAATCTTACATCTAAAATGTGTGACAATTAATGCAAGCATAAGTTTCTCAATAAAAAAATCAAACAGTAATTAAAAAAAAACAACTAAAACACACACGACAATACAAGCACACATTAAAATAAAAATAAAAATTTAATCTATACTTAATATTATAAAGACGAATTATTATTTTTGTATGTTTGATTTTAAAAATGCTTCACCAATGTAGTGCGTTTTTTAAAAACGAGGGGAAAGTACGCTTACTTAAGCTCGCTCCAAGGATGTCGGACTTGACGTGAGGTCTGTGAAGCTGGGCCCTATTCTTTGCTATTCAGAGGGATATAACCTTTTTTTTAATAAGGAGAAAATGGGCTTACACAGAAGCGCGCCATGGATATCAAGCTTGACGCGGGATGTGTGGGGCTGGGTCTGTACTCAAAGCTCTCTCCTACTTAGAGGGATAGGGAGTCCCTATTTTTCAATTGTCCAAAATTTCAATATCGCTCCACGCGAAGGTACGGTCATAATAGATCAACGGGGCTATGTCATAGTAGTACCTATAATAAAAAGCAACAGAAGTTACTTAAAGAACTCGAAGAGAAAAAATAAGCTTTTTATTATACCTATGGTTTGAAATTTATAAATAATTTGTTGTCAAATATTGATATATCTCATTTATATTGTATTTGATCGCATTTATGAGATTTCTCATATTGCTATTGAGTTATTATTGTTTGTCGAACGTGTCTGTTATGAGAGGATAGAGGCAAATAAAAACAAAATATTTGCTCTATGCGGAAGACTTTGATGCCGTGTTTCCAAATATCTTATCTGTAAGAATATATTAAGTGGGTATCAACTAGAAGTATAGTCCAAATAGTGAGATGATTGTTGTTTCTTTTGTATAAGAATTGTTTATATAGCTGATTCTCCATCTGTTTCGACGAATTTGGTTTGGTGACACTTTCAAACTGAAATCGTGTTTCGCGAACGAGGTTACGATTTTTTAATGTTTTAATTTTAATACATACATTAAATTTTTAATATGGAAAATTAAATATAAAATAAATCGATGGCGCTACAACCTCGATGGCGATCATTTGCTAATCTAATGGGCAAATAGGTGATCAGCCTTCAGTGCCTGACGCACGCCGTTGACTATTTGGGTCTAAAGCAAGCCGGTTTCCTCACGATGTTTTCCTTCACTGTTCGAGCGAATGTTAAATGAACACATAGAAAGAAAATCCAATGGTGCACAGTCGGGGATCGAACCTACGACCTCAGGGATGAGAGTCGCACGCTGAAGCCACTAGGCCAACACTGCTCTAATATGGAAAATACTCTACAATAAAAATGTGTGCGAAATTCAACTACACAAAGTACAGTTGAATATAATAAACATGTTTGTTAACATAGAGGCGACGTTGTCCGTCACCATGTCAATGAAACAGTTGTTAAGGCTGCCTACGCACTGGCGACCATAGACGCGGCCAGGCCGCCGCGGCCATGGTCGCCGGTGCGTAGGCAAGCGCGACATGTGGACGGCCGAAAAATTTGCAGTCGACTTCCAAGGATGTGTCAAGATGGACGTGCAGAAGATAATCACGCTAACTGTGCTTGTGTATTTACTACGAAAACGAAAACGGAAGATTTCACGTAAAAGACAGTTTTGGGTGCATCCATTACTTTGCGAGAGAAAGACTAAAGGATTATATTATACTTATTTTTTGGATTTAAAAATGTATGAGAAGAGATTCTTTAATTACATGAGAATGTCAACGAATACTTTTAACCTGTTACTGGATACAATAAAACCAAAAATTACTGGAACTGGTAACAACTATCGGAAATGCATTCCAGCAGAAGAAAAATTAGTAATAACAATAAGGTAAGCTTTTTCTTTTTTAAATACAGAATGTTTAAAAAATACGTGATATATTTTAAAGGATGTTTCGGAATGGAGTATTGTGTACAGGAAAAATAAAAATAATGTGATAGGGCCTTTTTTTTACTTAAACTGCTAAACGGATTTTTTTGTAAATTTGAATTATACAAGACTTGATTCTGAATCACCCTAAACCACCACTGTTGCGTTTTTCACAACAACCTGTATAATTCATTGACCAAGGTTTTGCCACTTTAAAAAATTTATGAACTATTGTTCAGTAGTATTCTACTTTACGACTTTGAAAAGGAGAGGAAAAGGGCTTGCTTATAACATGTTTTTAAATATTAAAAAACTGAAGTAGATAATCAAATTATTTGTATTTTCATAACTTAAAAATGGCAATTGTGAACAATTAATCATTCAAATTGGGAAATAGGTCTATCATTTCTGAATTTTGAGAAATATCAGAATAATGAGTATGAGTATCGCTGTAATTTGAATCATCTGATATCCTGTTGGTAGTAGAATAACCTGAATAACTCGGTCGATTTGTAGGTGTACAGTTCGGTTGGTATTTTTCTATAATTTCCATGATTTCCATTTTCGCTTTGGTCTTCATTGCAGCAGGGATTGTTTGAAATCTTTCGAGGAGGGATAAAAGAAACAGTCTGTCACAATTTGAATCATTCTGTGTAGTCGCTATGGTCTTATGCAGAACTGAAATTAGAGGGTCTGTATCGGATTCTTCGTTTGGTATTTTTTTCTTCCTTTTTGTTCTAAGCGACTTTGATGCAGACTGTTGAGTCTCAAGATCAGAAGATCTTGCACTTTCATTTTCTTGACTTGCCTCTTCGAGACTATTTTCTGTTGCGTTTGTGTCCAGCACTGATTTCAAAAACAGTAATTGGTTGAAATAGGTGTATTGTGATTTACGTTTTGCAGCAGAACCACTTTTGACATCTTTAAGACGGCGCAGCTCTCTTGTGAAACAGTCTCTAAGGTTTTTCCATCTTTTTGGAGAGTAATGCCTGTAAATCAATAAATAAATGTAGTACATATTACAAAACTAATATTATGTTTATTAATGTGAATTTTATTTTCAGGTATTTGGCTACTGGGTGTTCTTTATCTCATATAAGTCATGAATACCGTATAGGGCTTCCTACAGTATCGGAAATAGTATTTGATGTTTGTGAAGCAATATGGGAGATATTAAAACCAATTGTGATGCCACAATTGACCAGAGATAAGTGGATTCAAACGGCTGAAGGTTTTCAAAAATACGCCCAATTTCCTAATTGCATCGGAGCCATCGACGGCAAGCACATTAGAGTTATCAAACCACAACATTCGGGATCTCTTTATTACAATTACAAGAATTATTTTTCAATCGTGTTACTTGCAATATGTGATGTAAATTATAAATTTCTTTACTTAGATATTGGAGCATACGGCAAATGCAGTGATTCGTCAATTTACAAAGACTCTGTATTTTATCATAGGCTTTTAAATAATGATCTCGATATTCCGAGCAATAACCCCATCAAAGAAAATGGCCAATCAATGCCGTTCGTTTTAGTGGGTGATGAGGCGTTTTCACTATCGGAACATATGATGCGACCGTATGCTGGGAGAAACTTGAATAATGTAAAGACTAATTTTAATTATCGACTATCCCGTGCCCGCCGCTATATTGAATGTACATTTGGAATATTAGCCAATAAATGGCAGATTCTTCACCGACCCCTAAACGTCAAGAAAGAATTTGCAGTTGTGATTATAAAAGCTCTATGTGTGCTTCATAATTTTGTGCGAGAAAGAGACGGATATGATTTCAAGGACACGTTAACTGTACCAGAGGCTTTATTAGAAATACCTGCATGTTTACCTAATAGAGCAAATAGAACATCAACCGAATATCGAGATATATTCGCAAACTACTTCAGTACCGATGGTCGCTTGCCCTGGCACAATTTGTAAATATATGGGTGCTCGCCGCGAGCCGCCATTGCGCGCCGTAAACAAAATGGCGTCGAACGCACATGCGGTATGAGTAATCTTTTTAAAAAGTTATTCCAATCATTACGAAAACCTGGGAAATTTTAGCAAATAATTGTCAAAACTCATGTGCAAAGCGAAAAATAGTAGAAATAAAATAGTTATACTTTTGACAATTACCTATTTGCTAAAATTTCTTAGATTTTGAATGAACGGAACAACTTTAAAAAAAATCACTCATGTCACATATACGTGTCGAATGCTACTACAGCACCTGCTGCGTTTATTGTAGTTCATCGCATTATTAATTTACTTAGGCATAATAAAAATAAAATACTAACCAAGTTCTGCCTTTTCTTTATCTTCCATGGATTCACCGCCAAATATATCGACCACTTCAAGCCACAACTGCCGCTTAACATCTTTATTGGAGTAATCATTTGATGCTAAATCCCATAAACCTCTTCTATTTTCAACTTCAATTATGAACCTTTCCGTGTCGAAATTGGCCATTGTAAAATAATCACTCTGTAGCTAGCTACACGTCTGGTCGCCGCGGCCGATGCGGTAGCACTGATGAATTTTAATACAGAA